TCACGATCTGGGACAGCTCGCTCCACTTTTCGGCCTCTTTGGTGGCGGATGCGTCCGGTTTGGAGGGAATGTTCATGAGAACAATGGCCGGACTTGATGAGATTGGTACTGGTGATGATGTTTTCTTGGTGATGATCGGGCAGTTGTGGACTTCTGGTGGCTGAGCAAGGACATCTCCGGTGGTGAAGAGTTGTATGAGATCTTGTACAGGCTTGGTAGTCAGATGCGCATCACTTGCTGCTTGGTTTGCGTATCTAGCATGGTGAGCGACATTGTTGTCCATTCATTTATGAACTTACTCTTCAATCATATATATCTCAGTCCGCGAACTATCGTCCACCGGTAATGCGCAGACATACTGCAAGACCTCCGGCTCGTGTGGTGTCGTGAACTCGATGATCTTGTGAAACGCGTCGATGGCCTTTTGCCTGGCAGCTGAGTCCTTGAAGACTAGTCTAGCAGTAGTGAGAATGGCTGTCATTTTGACACAAGAGCGCAAACATTCGAAGATTGATCATCATCGTCAAGATAGTTTTATGGTAGTGGATGGAGATACCCCGCAAGCTCGGGATACCAGTTCCGATGCTCGGAATAGCCGACCCGTACCTGCAGCGAGGCGCTCATAATGTCGTGGGGGCCAGTTCGACTGCAACCACCGACTAGATACATGTCGTATCCCCCAATGAACGAAGACTCAATGTATGCTAGAGCCTTTGACGAGGCGGCAGTGGTAAGTCATAGGATTGCACTTCGCGTCGGCACGTGAGTCCGCGTGTCATGACGTCATCATCCGTATTTCACCCACACCAACCGAACGCGCCTTACCAGCAAACTTCCAATGCCTCGCCCTCCCTGATATCATCAACCCATGTCCCTCCCTCGCTATCTTCGCAACCTCAAACCAAACTTCGCCACCCCATGGCGCGCATACTCGTCACTTGACCGCTCCATCCCCTTCAACTTCTTCGCCGGCTACACCGTCGCAAACATGACTTCCGCAACCTTTCCCGCAACACCGTATGCCCCGACATACGACAATTGGCCGTATACCGACTCGGACTTCGTGCGATACGATGAAAACGACGATGGCGTATTCTACCGACAACCCAGACTAGTTACGCATATCGATGACCCGTCAATTGCGCGGTTGACACAGTACTACGATACCGCATTACCGAAGACTGGGAGAATAATGGACATGTGCACAAGTTGGAAGTCGTTCTACCCATTATCGGTCAAGGAAGCCATCCAGAAGGGAGAATTGGAAGTTTATGGCGTGGGACTCAATGAGGAGGAAATGGCAGTCAATGGCGTGTTCCAGGGCCCTGCTCGCTGGCGAGTGCTCGACCTGAACAAACCACCACACGACGTACGCACTGCATGGGAAAACGGACAGGATTTACAATTCGACGCAACAACGTGCGTCGTCAGCATCGACTACCTTAACAACCCGCTGGAGGTTTGCAAGAAACTTTTGGAGGCCACGAAAGAGGGTGGAAGCGTTCATCTCGTTATTAGCAACCGGTGCTTTCCAAACAAGGTCGTGAGAAGATGGATGATGCTAGATGAGCGCTCGCGACTCGAGTTTGTGGGCGATTACCTGCATTTCGCGGGATGGAAGGATGTGCAGATAGTGGATCTTTGCGCGAGGGATGAAAATGGCATGCGCGTCACGGATGATCAGGGAACGGTGCTTGTGAGTTCGCAGCGACTTCCAGATCACTTGGATCCGTTGTGGGTAGTGCGTGGGACGAAGAAGTCGTGAGCCGAGTATCTGTGGAAGGAGTATACTGGTAGCCTCCATAAAACTGCATCGTAGGCATGTCCGCATTTCTCCTGTAGCAACGAACGTCTCTCAAATCTCTTGAAATCTCCTCGCCTTTTTTTCTTCGACGTTTTTTTCGTTTTTCGCACTACGTAGTCCCCAAACATCAAAATGGGCAACGTTTGGGTCTTCGGGATCCTCGTGATGCTGTCGCTTCGGCTGGGCGCCTACGTGTACTTCCAGCGGCGACGAAACGTGCGCGAAAAGCGCATTTTGGAGATCGCGGAGGAGGCGTGCGCCTACCAGCGTGACGGCTGGGTGAGGCGTGAGGACTACGAGGACCTCCTCGCTGCCTACAATGTAAGTGATAGATTATGTAGTGCAATGGTACATGGTTCTGACTATTTCAGATCCTCAAGAACGACACCTCTCGCGCGGAATAGTGCAGCGAGATGCACTTCGGAGGCGCAGCACCCTTCGGGGTCAACATCACAACCGCGCGTGCCGCCTACATCACCTCAGCCAGCACCCACCTGTCGCGCTCGCCTTCAATGTTGTAGCCTGGAATATACGCATAAGTAGCAAATAGATAGTCAGTATGATATGGGTGCCTGTCCGTCTGCCCCGGTGTAATACTCAAGCTTTGCCAACCCCAAGAGCCGGCGCGCGAATGCTTATTTACCCGTGAATCTATGACGTGTTAGCTCGAGATCGTGAAATCCTGACTCGATTCGGTGGGTTTTGCTGGCTTGCTCAGCTTTTGTGGTGTGAGACGGTGGGTTCTGACGCGTATTTATCCGGTCAGCCACGAAGAGCTTGTGCAAGGCCGCCGATCACTCAGTGCTGTCGAAGGTGATAGAACACCAATCCATTACCATTAACTAATGCTGCACCAACTATACTGCCATCACAGATCCTTCCCTTTTGTGTGGATAGGATAGGCCCATGGAATGCGGCCTTGTATGCGGTCCTCCCCGAAGACGTAGTCCAACACCCTACTTTGCTTCATTCGCGGGGCCACAACATACTTCATCAAAAGCCATTGAAAAGCGTAGAGCGGGTAGATAAATCTGCCCACAAACCAGTAGATTGGGGTAGCCCAAGCGTGACTGCGAGTTGCGGCAGCCGAGACGCCAAAGTCAAATGCGGTTGGCTCTTTTCGCGAGGACTGGTATTCTGAGAAGATCTGTTGGAGTTCGTCGAAGCTGATATCGGAACCTGCACTTGACTTCGTCGCATTGTGTAGTAGATTGCAAAGCAATGCGACGTCCTGGATACCGTTTGTAAAACCTAGACCTGCATTCGGTGTGAACTTGTGACATGCGTCGCCGGCGAGCACGATGCGTCCCAAGCTCCAATGCTCGAGCACGCCTTCGTCTAGATTCGACATGCCTGCGGTCGAGCTATCGTAGATGTCCTTGACCTTCAAGTCGTCATTGACAGGCCAGTCTGCGAAGCTAGCGGCGAAGTCATCCATTTCCTCCTTTGTATATCGTTTCGGCTCCTGGGTCGGTTCTGGAAGCTTTTCGTACAGCAACAACCAAGCGCGTTCCCGACCAGTGATCCACATGAGAGAGCGGTCTTTACCCTGTGTGTTGTTTCCCAAACCAGCTGCGCATGGCCGTGGGATATTGGACCATAGACAACGGTAGTGGGCGGAGAAGGGCGGTTCTGGGTTACGGCAGGCTGAGAAGCGGTCTTCTGCTGAGAGCTTGTGCATGATCTTGCGCGTTTGGCTGTGCACTCCATCGGCTCCGAGGACCATAGATCCGGTAAACGTTGTGCCGTTGGCGCAGGTGACTACGACGCCGGTCTCGGTTGTCGCGATGTCGACCACTTTCTGGCCAACATGGTATTTCTTTCTTGCTTCGTCGGGAAGGCCTTCTAGCAGGGCTTGTACGAGTTCGGCGCGATGGAATGCGATAGGCTCGAGGCCGAAGCTGTGCTGAGTCAGTGGGAGTTGAAGACGTGTTGACTGTTGGCTAGGACTTACTTCTCCTTGACGATCTGGACGGAAGTACCATCTGCGAACTTCTTACCATCTTTAGTGAAGGACTTGTTGTTCAACACTTTTTGACCGATCGAAAGTAGTTTGTCAAGTAAACCAAGCTGTTGCATTATTCGCATGGCATGTGCTCCGAGAATGAGACTCGCGCCCACATCGATAACGACATCGTCTCTTCGCTCCAGAACGACAAAGTCGATGTTTGCTAGGTGTAACGCATGGGCAGCTGTTAGCCCAGTAGGCCCGCCGCCAATCACAATGACTTTGAAGGGTTGGTTTGCCATTGCTGTGGACTGTGAGGATGGATGTCGTTTTCTCCACTTGGCCGACAAACTCTCAAACCCTATATATCTGTACATGCGACATTTAGATCGATTCAGGCGTTTGTGGGTCATGGAACTGCCGATGAATACTTGACATGTCCATAGCACACTGTGAGTAGATCTCGGGAACCGAAGTACACCCGATTGTGTGGATAACTTCAGCGTGCTCGGCCGAGGGGGTTGAGCGGCAGTCACAAAGGACTCAAGACATCGTTGGGTTGTGAGGTTGGAACCCAGATACTCCACAGCGAGGAGAGTCTGACACTGGTGTCATTCTTTGGGGCGGCGAACGCGAACGCCGTAGTAGTAGTAGAAGACGCGTGCGACTGGGTGATGCTTGGTGACCCTGGGCATCGCGACACCTCATTGTCGCATGCAAGTGGCGACAGGAATGTTAGAAGTCCGACGAGCATGATGGCGATGCTCATGTCATGGATTCTGGAGGTTTATTGCAAATAGTGAGAGAAAGAAGGAACTGTCGCGTAAGCATGTGAACGCCTGGTCTTGTGAGTCAAGCCGCTGCGACCCGGTGACGACGCATCTTTTGCATGCTTTGAGATCGTGAGTGTGAAGTAGACACTGCGTTCAGGTTTGCATGAGGCGAAAGGGCGCAAAGATGTTGTTCAACGTTCTTTCTATGTGATCGTGCTGATGTGGACATCGATAGAAGATCGGAGACGCGCTACCGATGCCTGGCGCCATCATTAGCGTGCCAAGCTTCGATCGTCATCTCAAGCTTGTCGGGATCTCAATCTCCGCACCGCCGTCCTTCCACGCATCCCCAGAACAACAGCGCCAACTCCCCATTCAAGTGAACAACAGGTAAAGACCTAATATTTCCGGATCTAAGTTGACGTTAGAACGCCCACTTTGCATGTTTTTGACCTAGAGTAGTCTGCAGACGTGTTCAGCTTACTTCGTCGATCAACCTCCCCGCTACCTCAAGGAATACATCAGCATCGAGCCAGGGTACGGTCTCGAGTTCTCGCTGGAAAGACTCAGAGCCCGTGAAATCCATCGTGGTTAACCAAAACTGTAGGTTGGATACGCGGAATGCCGCAACGGCATCTGCGTCCTCGAGCCAGTCTTCACCCTCCATATCATCGAGCACGCGGTTGCACGCCATAGTTGCGACCGAACGCCGATCCTCTCTGCATATTACTGAGCTTAGATACAAGCCACGTGAAACAACATCTATCCAAAACCCGACTTTGTCCAGGTCCGAGACGACATAGCGGATGTTGACATGAGGATGCTGCCGGCAGTATTCGGCTAGCTCCAACAGGATACCTCGGCGTTCAAGCGATTGTTGGTATGGGAACTGGTCCACCCAAAGTGTAATGTTACGGAACTGTCCCCGTTTATTCGCTGCGGAGTGTTGGATGAACGTCAGGAATTGTTCTCCAGGCCCGAGGTCACGATGACTCCAGTGGCTAACGAAGTGCACTCGGTTAACTTGGGCCTCCAGCCCTGCGGTCTCTTTGTATAGTTGGCGACAGGTCAATTTCAGCTGGTTGAGGTCCTCGTAGCAGTCCCATGCGCCGAGTCCGACGAAGCATGAGTGCTTGATCCCATGGAAGGTGAACTGCAAGTCGTTGTCGGTCTGAAGCGCGTACTCGTATATACGGTTGCGTAGCTCGCCGGGCAACCGGAGGAGAAGGGTTGCGCTGTTGGCGAGGGTAGGATCTGCTGGCTCACATCGGGGCGCGTCGTTGGGCGATGCTGAATGCATCTCTGAGCTTTACGATCTGTCAGTGACTGCAAAATAGAAACGGTGTCTACGAGTGACTGACCTGGACGTGGTCTTGGAGCTCGATGAGAACGTGGTGCGCTTCTCGCGGTACCAGCGACGCAGACGATGTCGAAGACCTCCCTTCATGTCGGCGGAAGGAACGATGCACTGGAGTCGAATATCCGGTGCGCGCGGATGTCGTTGTTTGAAAGATCTCTGCGCGGGTTGGGGAGCGAAATTCTCGCCGTATCGGATCTTTCTAACCTTCACTTTGTGCACGGCCCACGTCCTCTAGCTCGCCTAGTGTGCTATCGGTGTCACAGTCTTCCTCGCGGCCACCGCCAGCACTTCATCCGACATACCCGCCGACAGAAGCCCTGTACTAAGAATTTTGTTCGCTCCGACTGACCGTCGTACCTGGTTTTGCCAGTGGTGCAAGCCACCAAGCAAGCGCCCGCGCACATGCCTTGGAATGCGGAGTTGTTGAGATCAAGCACACCCAGTGACCGCACTGCGACCTTTTATCAAGCGCCATGCGAATGCTTCATCTGCGAGACGCAATATCGCGACCTCCTCTGTCAGTGCATTGACGAGTATGCCTACGTGAGGGAGCGCAAGGATGACGAAGCGCAAGCTCTACTTACTTCGCACGTCAAGCAGATCACGCGAAACCAAGACTTCATTCGGGCCACACTGCAGCGACACGGTGATGTACTACTTGGTTGGTGGCGAACACGACGTCCCAGCGGTAGAAAGGCCTTCCTGGAGCAGACAAGACATGGATCTCGGTGGTGCTGGATTTGGAAGTTTGTAAGACTTCCTGGATAGCCATCTGGCCGCTACCCCGCTTCCGCGCATTCATTCACGCTGATAGACGCCTCTACAGCATACTGAATCCCCTACATGCTCCATCGTGAGTATGTAGCTTTGACGTATCATGGATTGTTGAAGAATACGTGCGCTCGTAATGTTGCAAATGTCGCTCGAAATGACTGCGCATATCTCCAGGCTACAACGTGGCAGAGACGAAGTCATCATTGCTTGTACTTTCTGTTTTGAAGTCGCGACCTTTCAGAAAGCGAGAGGAGAGCAGGACACATATCATAGTACTCGGAGCTTTTGAGAGAAGAAACAAGCGCACATACATGCTCGCATCCTTCATTTGGGTAGCAAGGGGGCGATGTGTAGGTAAGAAGAGAGAAGTATGAAATATTGAGCTTTACATAGACGTCCAGGTGCTTAAAGTGAGGCCCTCGTTCTACTCTTTCCATGCTACCCAATCTTCAAGCGTTTTGATAGGGAATCACGAATGATCCAGACGAGCAACGTCATCTACTTGTACTCACTCGGATTCTGGAGACGATCAAGTGCCGCAGTCATCATATTCCCTGCTATCAATTTAGAGAAGTAATGATGTCTGAAAGAAGTAGGAGATTGTATCTTTGGAGGAGCACTCCACATGTACTAGCTGCCAGACATCTTTGAAGTGTGTCGAATCAATCGAGATTGGGGAGCGAGCAGCCAAAGAAGAGCGACCATGTGCACGGTGCAATTGCACTTTTTGAAAGAGCAGGGAAGAGCGCACATAGAATCCGACGATTAGGATTTTTGGAGAAAGAACCAGTGGGGTGTGATGAAGAAGGGGAAGCAGGCAGAAGAAGGTGTGTTTTATATCCCACCGACACGCTAACACGCAAATGGCGTGGCAGCTAGAGCACCGGCAGACAGCATGAGGTCGTCGACACGATGTTTTGCACAGCGGACTTTACTCCACAGTCATTCCCTGGTCGTCATGGCTTTTTGACAGAACAAACACATGTCTGTTTTGAGTGATGGCTTTTGAACCGTCGAAGTTGTTGTGCGTCGAAGAAGGCACAAGAGAACAGTCATGTTTTCGATCTTGTGAGCATTTCGCGGCACATGCTAATGGTCTTCCTGTCTTTCCAGTGTATAAATCACAAAGAAAGTACTTTTGCATATGTCGCGCCGGACAGAGGAGAGACGAATATATCATCCCTGCCTCGAGTTTTTGGATGCAGAAAACCGGAAGAGAGGGCGACCATGACAGTGCGGCAGCTGCAATTTTGTAGAGGCTGCCTGGGATTGATGAACAGAAGGAGAACGGAGTCGGAACGTGGTTTGTATACACTCGGACGGCTTAGCGTCCGCTTCAGGCCTAGGCAGAGAGATGGTAATGCGTAGAGCACGGAAGAAATCGATCATAGGAGTGTGTTTTGTTGCATTTCGATGCTCATGGAGGAGTGACCAAGTCGTTTCGTTCACATCAAATCTTGGCTGGGAGAGTTTTGGTATTGAAAGGCGGGAGGACGGGCGACAAACATGCCACAGTCTCGTCACAGTTTTGGAATTTTGGAAACGGCGCAGAGAGCACCGAACATCCACAAGAAATCTTTCTCATTTTGAAGAAACACTCTGGTAGGTGTGTAGTAAAGAAGGAGAGAAATCTGCGAAGTGGGAAGACTTTACACCTCTGGATGCTCGTCGCAAGATGGGTGCAGGCGGATACCGAGGTCTCAAAACAATCCAAGAGCCCGGAAACATGGTGTTGTAGGCGGTAGGCTCCAGTTCACACCCCACTTGGATGTCTCATGCGCTAGCCTCAGCGCCCTTGAAGTGCTGTTTTTGAATGGCGAAAGGACCGCGGACGAACATATCGCGAGATTGTATGCTGTTTTGAGGCGTTGCTGGAGCTGTTCGCCGAAGAGACGAGACAGAACAGCAGCCGTCTAGCCGGTCGGATGCCGTTTTGGTGGTATCGGCAGAGGAAGAATATCAGGTTCTTACTGCAAGATTTTAGCTCAACACCGAGCGAAACGACTCAACATACGCAGTGCCAGTTGGTTTTTTTTTAACCATATATGCTAGAAAAGCGAGACAAAGCGGCAGTCATCGACCAGGTCGATCGACATATTTTAACAGAGTCAGCAGAAGAAGCACATCCACACCATCAAGAGTGGCTTTGTGTATTTTGGAACCAGCAGGACGACTGAACATCAGCGGTATGAGTCCATCTTTTTGGAGGAACAGCGGTCATGCACTTGTCACATACTGCTTTTGGGAAAAACGAACCGGAGATCGCATTGAGCGTAGGAGGTATGTTTTTGATGCATTTAGAAAACCCCAAGGTATCCAGTGGAGGTATTAGCAACTAGGTCGGAACGGTAAGCCTCTCAGAGAGAACATTAAACCGTGGCATGGTGTTTTTAGTTGATGGATCTATGCTGAGAGAGACCTCGAGAGCGACGCAGTCATACCATGATACGGATTCGATTTTGGAAAGAGCGAACCAGAGAAGACATGTTCCCGACAAATCGATCTTTTGGGTGTACAGGAGAGAGTCGCTGAACTCCATGGATATGTCAACGGATAGTTCAAGAAGGTGAACGTCTCGGAGACCACATTCCAGGCTGTGTATTGTATTTGTAGTTTGCCAGAGATGCGCCGAGGTCGAGCGACGCAGCCATGGCATTGACGGCTGCCGGCTTTTTGAGGGAAAGATCTTGCCAGGCGCAACATCAGTATCGCAACTGCAAGTTTTGGGTGAAATGACGACAGTTGCAAGGGACGACATGGAAGTCTCCCTAGTATGTTTTGGTAGAAGATGAGGAATACAGAGGAGGACAGCAGCCATGGAACGTCCGATGATGAATTTTTAGAGAAGGAAGATTCTCAAAGCAAACGTGCATGTGTTCCGAGGCAGTTTTTGGTGATAAAATGTGCGAAGCAGTCATTGTGTGTGCGCGATCGATTTTTCGGAAGAAGGAAGTCCCAGAGAGAACATCCAAGAGCTCTGATCCTGTTTTGGTAATAAACAGTGTACCGAGAGATAGAAGCGGCCATGTTGGAGGGTAGAGGTCGTTTAGAAGACAGGAATCGCAGAAGAGAACATGGGAACTTTATCTCGTCGATTTTGAGGGGGCCAGCGCGGAAAGTTGGACCAGCCATGGCCTCTCCCCCTGGCCGTTTTCGAAGAGAACTTTCTGGAGAGAACATAAATTCAAGAGAGGATTATTTTGGTAGAGAGCAGCGCGGAGAGGCGGAGAAGCCATGAGGGTCTTCGAGTGTCATTTTAGAAAAGAGGAGCTTTCGGAGAGAACATAGAATATATCCACGTCCCTTTTGGAAAATCCCTTCTGGAGTGGATGATAGGAAAGAAGAAGAGAGTAGACAAAAGTCGGCCTTTTATGCATACTCTCAGCCCGAAAGATCAGATGGCTAACACATGTAACCCCCACCATTGTCGCCCCACGGCCTCTACCATCATCAAGACCATGCATCACTTTACGCCTCAATCACCTCCTTCAGCGCTTTTGCACTGCTTTCCAACTTACCCTTCTCCTGCTTATCTAGCGGCATGTTCATCTCCCTTACCACGCCTTTCCTGCCCAGAACTACCGGCATGCTCAAGCACACGCCGAGATCTTCCTGATACGTACTGACCGGCCTGACAATCTTCTCATCGAAGATGATGGATTTACATATCGATGCTGCAACGCCGCCTATACCGTAATTCGTTGCGCCCTTGTTCTCGATGATAGACGTGGCTTTGTTCTTCGTCTCCTCCGCAATGGCGTTCTTATCCAACGCGCCTGATTGCTTGGAAGATAACGCAGAAGATAACGGGACGCCGCCGATAGAAGCCAGACTCCAGGCGACGAACTGACTCTCACCATGCTCCCCCAAGACGTACGCTTCGATGCTGGAGGCTGCGACTTCCGCCTTGGACGCGAGGATACCGCGAAGGCGCGCAGAGTCCAGGAAAGTGCCGCTGCCGATAACTTGCGATTTGGGTAGACCGGAGTATTGTTGGGCGAAGTAGGTGAGCACGTCGACAGGGTTGGCGACTAGCAGAAGTACAGTATCCTCGCGGAACGGCTTCATATCCGAGATTGCGGATTCAAGAATGGATTTGTTGCGGCCGATGAGATCAGTCCTACTCTCGCCCTTCTTCTGCTTCGCACCGGCAGCAATGACGACAATATCGCATTGTCCGGCTTCTTTGTGCGTACCTGCTCTTATCCTAGTGCTAGTGTTGCCGTGGAAGGTGGCATCGGAAAGGTCGGCGACTTGAGCGTCTCTGACTTCTTCTTTGGGGTCGACTAGCAGGATGTCGCCGGCGACGGGGTTCATGATGAGACTGTATGCGATTGTGGCGCCTACATCGCCGGCACCGAGGATGGCAATGGAGGAGGTGTTTTTGGGGTCTGACATGTTGGGTGGTAGGTGATGGGATTGTAAAACAATTGACTGAAATAAAGAGGTGGAGGGGAGTTGGTAGTTGACGGGGATATTCGGTGGGTTCAGAGTTCTTTCTTCTTCTGTAATCTGGTAGTACGAGATATTGAAGTACGTCATCGTGATGGCGCTAGTGCGAATGCAGTCCGTAGACAGCCGGCCTATCGACACGCTGGTGAGGAAGTCGCGATGGTGGATTACCTAAACATGACCAGCCTCAGCTCTTCATCACAGCTCCCATTCCCTCCCAGCCCGTATTGTTATCCTCCCCTGTCATCTACTCCACCGTCTCACACCCACTCCACGTCGTCTTCCCGTCTCGTGCGACGCGTCGTGGTTCGGCGTGGGCCTTGAGCCTGTTTCTTGGCTGTTTTGACTGGCTGGGAGGGCTTAGCATTATATTCCTTGAATAAAGCCAAGTGAAGCGATAAAAGTATCACAAAATCCAAGTGCTCAAGCTACCTTGGGTGCGGGTACGGCAGCTGGTGCAACCACTTTCTTCCTCGGCTGTGTAGCCAGACCCTTCTTCAGCAGCAGAGGTATGACGTCTGTCGCTTTATTCCGGCTGATGGTCTTTCGGCAGACGGGGCATTGCGAGCGCTTCGTTTCGTGGGGCCCAGTGCGGTTTTCGCCGGCGATGAGGGCTTCCATGAGGCAGGTGTGGCAGAAGAGGTGGCCTGAACGATTAGTGAAACACTTAAGATGACATGAATTGTACTCACCACACGCAGTAGCCGTAAGATCTGTAGGGTTGTCCATGCAGATGACGCAGTTGAACGAGTTGAAGGTGGTGACGGTCTCCTCTGGCTTTGCCTGCGCCTTGACAGCATCCTCCCGCTGCTTCTGCAGGGCCTCTTGCAGCGGCGTCTTCTGCTCCGTCAGGTCGAGCTCTTCAATCTTCTCGGGCTCGGCGCTCTGCTGCTTGACTTCCGCAGCTGATCCATCGTCCCGCTTCTGGCGCTTCGCTGAAGGGCCCGGGGTGGGCGACTGTGGCTTCCTCCTCCGCGGCGGTGATTCGGGGGCGCTTGTGAGGTCGACGTAGCCATTTGCGAGACGGTCAGGCCGTGCGCGTGTGGCGGGCGGCATGTCTCCGGTGAATGAGCTGTAGGGGCGCCAAGCGAAGGGAGAATAGCGTCCGTGATCGAGGCCGGCTGGATTGAGGATGTGGTCGAAGAAGCCGGTGGAGTAGGGCACGGGCGGGGCGCGGTAGACGTCGTCGAACTGGGCGTCGTCGGCGGGGGCGCTGTAGTGGCCGAAGAGCTCGCCAAAGTCGAAGGCTTCGGGGGAGTAGTGGTTAGGAGAGTAGTGGTTGTGGTGGTGGCTCTCGGGGGTGTCGAAGTTGGCGTCGTCGAGTGGGTGGGTTATGTCATCGTCGTCCCTGTGAGAGCGGTCGGCCGACATGGTGGCGAGCGCAGGCCGAGGGGGCGGCAGCGGGCAGGTCAGGAAGGGCAACGTGCTCCTTCACCATCTGAGTAGCTGCTGGTCTGGGCATGGTGTCGCAGTCCCGGGGGCTTGGTGACGCAAAAGCAGCGGCCGCCATTCGGCTCGGGCGTGCTATATCATGCATCGCGTAGGGCTGAGGGGAACTGCACCGCGCCAAGAGTCTGCGGGTGAACTAGACACTGAACATGACGACACCGAATTGCAACCTCAACTACGACGACTCAACCCGCCGACGCCATGCAGTGACCGCCGTATTCCAGTCTGACGATGCGCTGCTCATGTCGCTCCCTTGCCGCCCACGCCGCCCGACCGCGACCCGTCCATGCGCCATCACATTTCGCCAACGCCTCCAAACGATGTCTCGCCACAGTCCAGTCTACACAATCTCCGGATGCAGACGGTAGTAATGCAAGGGGTAGTCTGAGTGGTGCGACAGTCAATGCGTCTTTGTCAGTCCCCTCGGAAGCCCGCTTCAGTCCCATCGGCGTTCAGCATCTTTCCTCGCACATCCACTCGCAGGTCTTCCCCGGCGCAAGCACCCAACCACCGCCCGAACTCGTCGCGCTTTCGCAGGACCACCTCAGTCGCCATGACTTACTCGGCAAGAACCAGGACCAGACCCCGCCGGTTGGGTTTGACCTGCCCGAACTACAAGGGACCAGCCTCGACGAGCACTTTTACAAGCTGGGCATGGATACGGCGGAACCATACTTAAGCATGGCAAAGAAGCTGGCATGGGCGAATCCTCCACCAAAGCCAACAAAATGGGTGCGACGGAGCGGCTGGACCAAGTACAACAGCGACGGCACCACCGAGGCCGTCGATGCGCCCGACGAGACGATGCTCACGTTCGACACCGAAGTCATGTATAAAGTGACGCCCTTCGCCTGCATGGCATGTGCCGCCAGTCCTACCGCCTGGTATGCTTGGTTATCGCCGTGGCTGCTGGGCGAGACCAAGTCAGATCGCCACCTCATCCCACTGGGCGACACCTCAGTCCCCCGCGTCATTGTCGGACACAACATCGGATACGACAGGGCTAGGATAGCGGAGGAGTACAATATCGCGCAATCGAAAAACGCGTTCGTCGATACCATGTCCCTGCATGTAGCTTCCAACGGCATGTGCTCGCGCCAACGCCCGTCGTGGATGAAGAACAGGAAGGATCAGGAGAAGCAAGACAAGGCAGCGACTGATGAGGAGAATGCTGGCCTCTCCACGGTCTTGGCTCCTCCAACTGAAGAAGAGCTGTGGATGGGAAGAAGCGCAATCAACTCGCTACGGGATGTGGCCAAGTTCCATTGCAACATCACGCTCGACAAGGCGCAGAGGGAGTACTTTGGTGAGAAAGACCGTGCGGTTGTCAATGACATGCTGGACGACCTGCTCTCCTACTGTGCCGCTGATGTAGAAATCACGCATCGTGTATATCAAAAGGTCTTTCCGCTTTTTCTCGAGACATGTCCTCATCCTGTTAGTTTTGCCGCACTGCGATTTCTGGCCGCTGAGATTCTGCCTGTCAACGAGACGTGGGATGCGTATATCAACAACGCCGAAGCGACATATAAGCAGCTCGACGATGCTGTGAAGGAGCGCTTGGTGGCGTTGACAGAGAAGGCGCTGGAGGTCAAGGATCAGCCGGAGGTGTATGAGAACGATCCCTGGCTGAGTCAGTTGGACTGGTCAGGGCAGGAGGTCAAGATGGTAAAGGGGAAGAAGAAGGGCGATCCGCCGAGACCAGCAGCCCGCCAGAAGAAGCCTGGTATGCCAAAGTGGTACAAGGATCTCTTTGCCAAGAACGACGCCCCGATGGCTCTTACCGTACGAACACGCATCACGCCGATTCTACTGAAGCTGGCCTGGGATGGCAATCCTCTGGTGTGGTCGGATATACATGGATGGACGTACAAGGTGCCCGTAGACGAGGCCTTTGCCTACGACGACAAGGGGTTGAAGGTCTTGGACATGTCTGAGGAAGAGAACCTGAAGCTTCGCGATGATAGCGAGTATGTCTACTACAAGATTCCGCACAAGGACGGGCCACTCGCGAGATGCGCCAACCCCCTCGCCAAGGGCTATCTGCAGTATTTCGAGAAGGGTAAGCTGGGGTCGGAGTATGCGTATGCCAAGGAAGCACTGGAGATGAACGCATCCTGTTCGTACTGGATCAGTGCGAGGGAGAGAATCACGAATCAGATGGTCGTCTACAACAAGGAAGTGCCTAATCCGCCGAAACTTGTCTCTGCATCCGGCAAAGGCGCGGGGAAGAAGGTCGGCTTCATCCTTCCACAGATCATACCAATGGGCACCGTCACGCGGAGATCGGTTGAAAATACATGGCTTACGGCTAGCAACGCGAAGAAGAATCGTGTTGGGTCAGAATTGAAGTCCATGGTACGAGCTCCTCAAGGATACTGCTTTGTAGGAGCAGATGTCGACTCGCAGGAACTCTGGATCGCTAGTTTAATCGGCGATGCGACGTTCAAGCTCCACGGCGGTAATGCTGTCGGTTTCATGACGCTGGAGGGCACCAAGGCAGCAGGTACAGATTTGCACTCTCGCACAGCCGCTATTCTGGGCATCTCGCGAAACGACGCCAAAGTCTTCAACTACGGACGTATCTACGGCGCGGGACTGAAGTTTGCGTCTACCCTTCTCCGCCAGTTCAACCCTTCGTTATCGGACGAGCAAACCTCCAAAACAGCAGACGATCTCTACAAAAACACCAAGGGCAAGAAGACGAACCGCAAACAACTCCACGAACGAGCCTTCTGGCGCGGCGGCACTGAATCTTTCGTGTTTAACAAGTTGGAAGACTTTGCTGAACAAGAACGACCCCGCACACCTGTCCTCGGCGCTGCCATCACCGAAGCCCTGCAACGGCGGTACTTGTCAAAAGGAGGTTTCATGACGAGTCGAATCAACTGGGCGATCCAATCTTCCGGCGTTGACTACCTCCATCTTCTAATCGTCTCCATGGACTACCTCACCCGCCGATACGGCCTCGACGCTCGCCTCGCCATCACCGTGCACGACGAGATCCGATACCTCGTCAAAGAAGAAGACAGATATAAAGCGGCAATGGCGCTGCAGGTTGCCAACGTCTGGACACGCGCAATGTTTAGCCAGCAAATGGGTATCAACGAACTTCCCCAATCATGCGCTTACTTCTCCGCCGTCGACATTGACCACGTCTTGCGAAAGGAGGTGGATATGGATTGTATCACGCCGAGCAACAAGGAGAAGATCCCGCATGGTGAGAGTCTGGATATCATGGCGCTGTTGGAGAAGGGCGAAGAAGCACGCCTTGATCCCGCTTTCGTACCCAGCGAAGCCGATATGCCAACACCGGAGAAGTACACTCACGCCTTCACCCCCCGCACACCCATCATGTCCACCCTTTCACGCGGCGATGCAGTCGGCGACCCAACAGCAATGGCGTATCTCAAAGCGCAAATTTCCTCCTCCGATCAGGAACTCCGCGACATCCTCAAACCGCTACGTGCGACGCCAGCACCACGCAGTGCAAGCAGTAGCAAGACGAAGAGCAAGAGTGGAAGCACAGCCGGCAACGAAGTCTCAGACATCGAGCAAGAGAACCGTGAGATCCAGAGGGAGATTAAGCAGTTTGAAAAAATGACCAAGCAATCGAGCGCTCATGACCCCTGGCGCGAGGTGTACAAGCGCGCGAATGCGAGTACGAAGGCCAAAGGCAAAGCTGCGACTGGAAGCGAGTGGTGGCAGAACGGGTATACGACGCATAATAGGAGTGCGGTCAGGAGCGCAAGAGTTTAGGAAGAACAGATGTGGTGTATGTTATGTTTCTTGTACCCTTTTTTGTGTAAGATGTATGTACGGCAAAACTCTATGTATTGGGATGGGTAACGGGTTAGGTGGGCGGCGCGTCGTCTGGTTTACTTGCATAGGTTCGGCGCATCGTTGCTTCCACAAATGGACATTTGGTTCGGCGTTCTTCCGATTCCGTCCCCATTCCGCAGTCGCGTGACTGAGCGGGGTATAAAAGGCCGTCCTCCACGCCTTCCTTCTTCTCTTCTTCATCATACCTTCCGATCCTCATTCGCCAAAATGAACACAGCCAATTTGGATGATTTTGCTGGTCTGGCTTTTCGAAAAACATCGGTGAACTCGGTTATGTGCTCGCCTTTCCTTCCGCTTTCGACATCGACGTCGAAAACCAGATATCAGGAATTACATGGCTTCTGGTTCTGTTCTTTCCCAAAACTCCACGTTTGCGAAGTGATGTGTCCGCCTGCTCGCGTGCTCTCAACCTCCAAAATCTTAGGCCTGGCGTCGACATGACTTCAACCGGCTGTCGTTTCGAAAGATAGAGGAGGGCCAGGAGTGTGCTGGCATCGAGTCGCGCTTTCAATGTCGAAACTAAGATGGCGCTTGAGGTACACATACGTTTCTGGTTGTCCAAAATCGCTATGGAACGTTTCTATGTGTTCGCCTCGGACTGCGATGGGCATTGTTCTAAAATTATTACTATCCATGTATATTCTACGCCGCTTGATGAACAAAAGCATGTCGCGCGAAAAGAGGATGTAGATGTCTTAGCTAGTGCCAAGAAGACTATATATTCTTGCTGGCGAGCGAAGGAAGGGACTACATCTCTTCTCCACTTAGTTATCACTAAAAAGACACTCGCCTATTTTCATGTGTTCGTTCTTCTTTGCGAAAAAATGAAAACGTGAAGACAGTGCTTGATGGAGTTGCTGGCCTTCTCTCGGTTTCCAAAACAAACGAAGAGCTTCGCATGTTCTTTGCGCTGTCCGCTGCGGTAAGCGCAGCGAAACAAGAAATCACCTGAGTTGCTTTGAAAGCAGCTCGTTCCGGAACACCTTATTTATCCCTCTCAGCGCACGAAGAACGTCCTCAGTTCTCTCCTTATTCTGCGAAAACGCCAAAAAGAACGATATCAAGATGTCATGAAGTTGGCGTCCTTCTCTCGCGTGGTCTTCGACCGTCTTATGCGTGTGCAACTCCGCGAACTCCATCATATCCACCAGGATTGCAATACTCTCAAAAGCTGTTCTCAATGGCAACATGGAGTTTGCTCCTCGTGTGCGGCCTTCCTTCGTCTCTTGCGGCACATCTCGTACATCCAAACAGCGCCACAAACTCAGTATTGCACTCCGCCTCGATGATTCCCCAAATACATATAGTGAGCAGAGAGTCCGAGACTGTTACAACATCTTCTACAATTTACGAATATCCAAACTCTACTGTGGTCATTACTATGAGCCGGCTTCGCGCGGTCTTTCGGAAAATAGTCCTCGACTTTCCATGATTGCAAGTTTCGGCACGCCTCGCAATGTTCCTTCGATGTCAGAACAACATCGTAACGACAAAATGGCGTCCGCTCGTCGAGGCGTTTCCAAGGTTATCTTCTCGTCGCCATGTGAGAGACGAACACCAAGCATCCTCGCACTTCGGGAGTAATGACCAAAAGCAGTTGCAGAGAATATTATGGGGGTGTTCCTCCTGTCTCTGTCTCTCAAAACATGAGCGAGACCCTTTGATGTGCCTGGGCCACTCATTTGAGGTCTTCATAACATCAAAAGAGTTTCTCGAACCTCTAATAGCGTCTTCCCGCTGAGCTGTCTATTCATTCCACAATCCGAAGCACGAGTAAACATATAATCTCGCATTGCATGAAGAATTACCAAATTTAGAAGCCAAAGAAGTCATGGAGTTGGGTCTCTTGTGTGGGCCCTTTCAAACATGCCGAAGCAGCTCCCCATGTTGCAAGACTCTCTCGTATCACCGTATACTCTCAAATCGCCAGAGCAAATATTGATGCAGCGCGAAGCCTTAGCCTTTTGAAGCGATTGACTCCTCGGCACCTGCGAGTGACGACGACATCGCAGATCCCGGGAAGCCGGCAGACGCACGAGATGAGATGAACACAAGCAGAGTAGCCGGACGCTCCTACCCTTTCACTCAATGATGTCACGGGTTCCGAAAATCTCTTCGCGCGCCTGCCTGGACGCGTGCAGTCGCTAGCGTGACTACCACGAGTGTTTGCGGCCTGCACCTACCTGGCTATCTCACTGTCGCCTTCCCCGTTTTTCCAATCCTATCTCCCATCTTATCGCCGACCACGACGCAAGGATAAAGATGAACGCCGCATTCGAAATACCCTTTGACGAGTGGGAGGAGAAGGCCCAAGAACACGTGAGAGCTCCGCTATCGAGCTGTGTTGGAAATGAACTGACACGGTACGCCCGCTTAGGTTGATCATTCTAAGTACAGCAAGCTCGCCTTGATGCTTGACGAGGATGGATGGCTGCCTCTAGTCCGCGCCGCGTACGATGACGAGAAGCTCACCGACAACAATTTCGCCAAGCGCTGCAGCCTCGAAGATTGGACCAATGTCTCCGATGACGCCTTGTCTACCGTCGAACCCGCGATACTCAAAGCCATGTGTGCTGGAGACGTGAACGCCACGGTCAAAGGCGATAGCGACCTGCGCAAAGTCATCCAGTCGTACGAAGACCGCGCCGATAGCCAGGCGACTATCTATCTGCGACAGATGACGGTTGGTGTGGGACAAGAGGCACTTTCCGTCGCTCACGCACGCGACCTTGCTTTGGTCGCTATGCAGTACGCGAATCAATATAGCACAGACAGCGCTGCGGATATGGCGTATGAGATCGACAAGAAGGCGCTTGGTGAAGACTGGCACATTCGCTACACCATCAGCGGACGGCGCCACTTCATCGAGGGCAGCAAAGGCGACGTCGATGTCGGAAAGAAGCGAGTGCTGCAAGGCTTTTCCCGCGCGCTGACTCGGCTCGCCGACCAGGCCGAGAAGGACAACAAGGCCTATATTCCTTCCCTGCAGTTTATCGGCTACGCAAGCAAAGGCCATCAAGATAGGTCGCAACACGGAGACACCTTGACTGGAACGAGTTCACTGCTCGCCTTCACCAAATGCTGTCTTGAGAGCTGGAAGAACTTCAACCCGGTCGAGATGCATCACTTCACCATCTGTCTTATCCCCGATGACACTGGCGGTCCTGTCGCCTATATGCTTCTTGCCCGCCTTGCACGCGCATACTACTTCGCTGGCGGCCTCAGCATCGGTCAAGCAGAAGCCAGTAGTTTGAGCCTCAGCCTGAGCAGGTCTAAGCCCCAGGAACGCGGAAATGTGTGGATGGCGAACACCCAATGGGTCAAAGATTACGCCGACTACGACAAGACCCTAGAGAAAGAGGTAGCTTCCCGTAAGAAGCTGCAGAAGGCCGAGTACGAGGCCGGCATGAGCGCAGAAATGGAAGAAATCACGGACTTCAAGACAAGGCTCCAGAGCATGCGTGAAGCCGTTGAGGAGATTCGAGAAGAGCACCGGCTGCTAGACGATTGGCAGGAGTTTGAGGAGAATTTCCCGGACGAGTACCAGGAGTTCAAGGAGTTGGAGAAGTTCGCTATGGAGACGACGAAGGCGCTCACTGAGGTTGGGACATCATGATTACTGCCACGTACCTTTTTGTTTGGGTTGTGTGGTTTGATATATTTGAAGTAGTAGGTAATTTGGAGTGGTCGTTGAAAGAATAGCATGGCTGCATTAGCTAGCTGATATCTTTGGGCACAGTCAGATGCTATTACAGCTTGTATTGACGCGGGCAGTTGAGTAATCTTCCCCAACCGACGCTGAAATTTCATGATTACCTAAACTTTTGCAGCTTATCACATGTCCGTCCTTGAACTCTTTTCTTTCACAACACATGTACCCCAGCTCAAGTTACTCTGTTTCAAATCTTAGATCTTGGTCAACTGCCGTGATTGGTAGACGTCGTCGCTATCTGAATATACATATCTGTGAGATGCAATCTGCAGTTTACAACTGTGTCCCTTTCACTCAAAAGTAACACGCTTGGACAATTCCACGAGCGCGAAAATCTCTTCGCGCGCCCCTGCCTGGACTTACATAGTCGGTACCCAAACCAGCTCGTATTCACACTTCCCCTCTCTCGTCTTCATTCATATCTCTCTACGCCTGAACTCGCGACCTATCTGGTCTAAGGATAATGGTGGGTTGCACGGACAGGTTCGTTGCCCATATGCGCACCCTTGCCCACCCGAACAGGCAGGTGCACCAAGCGGCTGCGCAGCCCTACCAGCCCTCCGAAGTCGAGAACAAGCACGAAGAGGAACTCGATAAACAGACTGCTCTCACCAAGCGTCACGCCGAGGAGCACGCCGACGAGAAGCAATCTCGCGTTCTTCTACTACAAGCCGCCGCATTTCGTCACAAGCTCAGGGATGTTGAGGCCAAACACGCCGCAGACCTCAAGGACGTGGAGATCAAGCACACCACAGACCTCAAGGACATGGAGACCAAGCACACCGCAGGCCTCAAAGCAGCTCTGGAGAAGCAGAGACGGGAGTTCGAGATCAAACACGAGGATCTTAAGCGCAAAAATGAGGCTGACCTCGGAGAAGCACACAACAAGTGAGTGATGATGATGATCGGTATCACTAGATTACTAACAGTGTCGCAGGTCGAGCGAAGAGATCGCGAAACAAAAGAGTGTTCATCAGGCGATCGTAAAACGACTCGGGGTCACTCTTCAAAGCGCTCTCGGCGGAGTTGCTGAGCGCAAGGGTAAATGGTTTCGACCAGCTAAGAAAAATGTCAACTCCGAGATGGACGGCCTGGTCTTCACCATTGGAACTATGACAGAACTGTTGGATCGTATGATGGCACTTCTGATCGAGGTGAGCCAGGAGCTTGAATTGGGCGAGGTCTATCCCGGAGAAGAGTTCATGCTCGCCCGAGTGCTCGGCTCCATGAGGAGACGCATCCTTGCCTCAGAGAAACTGAAAATCAGTCTACACCATCAGATAGACCGACGAGTTCCTGAAATCCTTGAAAGAGCGTTACCCTCATCTACAAGCATCGAGCTCAAGCTCGACCTATTGTTCGACCGTGTCAACGCTGCTGTTCGCGATCAGAAAAGTGCGGCGCATGATCAGCAAAATGCGGCAGTTGCTGCTCTTGAGGGGGTCTTAGACGCCTACCTCCAAGATGCATGCACTAGTTTGGACCACCCCAAACTCTACGACGGCAGTACACAACAACGAGTCAAGACATTTCTGGAGACATTTGTCGCTCAGTATCGCACCGACCAGGATGTCTGTAGAGTGCTCTTAGATGAGCTTCGCATTTCCGCGAGCAACAATTCCATGAGCATTTCTAGACATTCTCAACGATTCGACATATGCTTGCGTTCTTACATCGACGCCGTTGACGCTAGGCTTGGTATGTCCCCTCGTCTCAGGTATGACGCACTCTCATCGTAGACAGGGAGCAGCTTTGGCTAGTTACGCGGTTGTTCGAGCAGCTTGACATGTCTGCGTAGCCTTTGGGGTTTGCATTGGGCGAAGACGGCGGCGACGGTGACGACAGCGTAGAACACAGAAAAGACGCAGTTGAGAAAAGCATAATGTCAGGAGGAAAGTAGGTAACTCACGATGAATACATCAGGTCAACAATCTGGCAGTGCATCGACATTTGACTACGTGCTGTGTGTTCATGCCCCCCAGTTACAGTACATTTTATCAGATTGCGCGAGTGTTCAGAAGATCTTTGCGTACCTTCCTGGAATCGCTGGCGTGACAGCCACGCGTGTTTGCTACGCACCTGCCTCGCACTTTTCACACGTCTCTGATCCTTCCTTGGTCTTCCGCCCTTGTCGCACATCTCACCTCACCACATACCAAAACACGCAACACGATGTCGACAGCGACCCGAGATACGGTCTCACTTCGGTTACGAAAGAGCCTATACCAGTTCGTCCAAGACGCGTTTGTCGCTGCGAGAGTCTCCACAGACAACTGGCCTCAAGCTTACGAGGATGACGATGCAGTTAACGTTGCGACCGTGGAAGGGTTCATCGCCGAGCGTCTGGGCGCTTTCCAGCGAGCAATCGAGCAGCAGCGTCAAGAAGTCATAGAGGAAGGTGACCAGTCCATTCGCGAAGGAAGTGTAGCAATGGATGCCCTGGCCAAGCGCGTCGGTGGAGGCGAAGCAGAGTGCGTCCCTACCAAGGAAGACTACGGTGCCTGGATGACAACACGCCGGATGGTGATCGAGGAAGGAATCAACAATCTCAGCAAGATTACCAACGACGCCGTTAGTGCGTGCAAGCGGACAACTTCGGCGGTCGATGATATCCTCCAAGACCTATTCAACGCGAACAAAGCCGATAAGCCGGAATGGAAGATCAGGAAGGCAATCCAAAAGGTCACTAATTTAGAGGAAATGGGCTTTGATAACATATTCCTCACATTGCTCGATCAGGCGCGTATACAGTTATGACATCGAAGTACTGATTTCAACTTTGCAGAACATGATTCAGACTTCAGATGCAAAAACTGTCTCGCCGTCTATAGTATCTCTTTTCACGCACACATCAATTACTTTTTCTACCAAAGATAGAGCCGACTATCCTCATGTCCGCGGCCTCTGCGCTCTCATCGTGTATGGCACACTCGATCAAAAACACCAAAGGTTGGCGCCATGTGTGGACCACGACATCAACACTCGTTGCAACGAATCACGGTTCGCGTCATGACCTTTACCGTCGAAATATTCTCCTTTCTCCTAAGCAACGAGAAGAAAGGGCTGATGTAGTTCATTGCATGGCCTGCGCAAGTATAAAACCTTCGCTCTCCGTGTAGCATTCTCTCTTCATCTCCACAGCAAAACTTCTTTTTCCAAAAGGCGCAGTAGGCATTCGACATGTTTCTGCCTTTCGCGCCTTCGTCTCCAAGTCCGATTTAACTCAAAAGTCCCAACGTGTACTAAATGTGCGAAGCACGACGTGAGGCTTGTACAAAAGACTTCAGTGAAAAGACATGTCTTCCTTGCGCGAGCTCAAATACTGTCATCAAAAGTCGCATTCTGATAAAGTCATGCTAGTACTGCCTGGGCGTGCGGATATATACAGCTCACGGGTTCCTCACAGGCTTCTTTCTTACCCACACAACGTCTCCCATTTCATCAAAAACTTCCGTTACCATGGACAATGTCTGCGTTTGCCTCGCCTTCGTCGCAAGTCCGGTTCGACCTGAAAGCATGAGTCTCTCTCGATATGTGAGAACGCGAGACATGGAAGTTTGTTCAAAGTTGATGCACAGTACTTCATGCCTTCGTTGCGCGGTCTCGCGATTGCCTTTTCAAGAAACGCCAAAGACATGTGTATGACAGCGCTGCTCTGGATTGCGGGTATATAAACTCAACATCATCTTCACCTCCCTTCCTTCTTATACTCACACGACCTCTACATTTCACCAAAATACCTCTAGACAAGTTCCCATGTCTTTGTTTTCTGGGACTTTGTCGCGAACCTGACTCTATCAAAAAATCAGATCATCAGCTATATGTGGCTGAGTCGAAGCTCAGCTTTTGTTCAAAGTACACACGTTGACATCCATGGCGTTTGGGAACGCTTCCTGGCCCTTGGCAACGGATTTTGCAAGGTGTGAACCCATTGCGGTGGTGCCCACGATTGTGGGTATATAAACTTCGCCCATTGCCGGTCCTTCACGTCTTCATAACTTCACTTGCAAGAAGTATTCTCCAAAACAAAGAATTGGATGCGGAATGTCCTTCGTCGGCCTCTTGTCTCTCTTTACTGTGTCTCAAAACGGCAGGAGAAGACGCTTATGGGTTTTACGCTTTCCAAAAATCACAGACAAAGAACGTGATCGAGCGCTGCAGTTCCTGACTGGTTGCGTTGTCACAAAACCAAACTGGTTGGACAAGCCGTAGATGTTCGTTTCTTTCTCGGCGGCGCTTCATTTGATTGGAGATAGTAGGAGAAGTTTGGTAGTATCATTTCCCTTCACAGTGAAGTGCAAGCAAGTGATGCGCACAGCCTTTGCCTGACAAACATGTCCAGTGCGGTGTCGCAGCAAAACGGCGATGGCGAGCGACCAAAACAATATTTCGCCAATGCGATGACATGGAGGTGCGAACAAAAAGGCGACTCGGTGCAGACAAGGGCGGTGCATTCAGTATGAATGAAATGCGTTTACATGTGAGCACAAGTACATATACAAGATACTTTGTTACATACAATACACCCAATCCTACACAGTCGCCCTCTTAAACGCATCCCGCGGTATCGACATGGCAATCCCGCTCTTGAGTGCCGGGCGATCAAACGAACTCTTCAGCCCATCCTTCTCCTCCAGATACTCGCCCTCCCTCAGATTCAGCGCATCCATAACCCGTCCAATCTCGATATTCTTCTCAGCCTCGTACTCCTCGGCAGAAAGCATCAACGTCTCGCCGCGCGCCTTGTTGATCTCCAGAGGCTCGTGCTCGATGGCTGCGGGCCACTTGCCGGCTGCGTAGAGGGCGTCTTGGATGTCGGCCCACCGCACGCTCACACCTTCGAGTGTGTAGGGCTTGACGGGCGGTGTCTTGAGGGCTTTGGGCAGGACGGAGCGGGCGATGTAGTGGTTGCCGACTTTAGACTGCGCCTTTGCTTCGAACGCCTGCTCGAGGGTGGTAATTTCAGCACGATGGCCAGCGAGAATCTCGCGATCAAGCTCAAGGTCTGCCTCGGAACGTGTAGGATCGGGGTTGTCGAGCGCCTCCTGCAGGGTGCGGGCCTGGATCTTCAGTTCATACAACTTCGTCTCAGCGCCGAGTTCGTTGGCTGGCGCTGATCTCTTGGTGAGGTCTTCTTGTAGGTTCTTGAACTGCTCCGCCTTTCGCAGAGCGTACTGCAGCTTCCCCAGGCGGGTCTCGAGGCTCTCCTTGGCAGCCTTTATGCTCTTCTGATCGGCCTCGTTCTGGTGGTGCTTCATCTTCAGCTTGTGATCCATGGACCGTATTTGGCCCTGCAGCCACTTGACGTTATCCGTGGGCTTCGCCTTGGCCAGCCCCGCATTCGCCAGGGCGTCAATCTGCTCCCACCGCTTGTCGAGGAAAGTCGATACCTTTTTTTCCTGCTCTGCCTGCTCTTCGGCCGTCTTGGCACCGTGCGCCTCTTGTATCCGCAGCACTTCGGCCAAGTCGGCGCTGGTGTTGGCGCGCTGGTCCATGATCTTCTTGACCCTCGTCTTCTTGTCCATGCGCTTGAACTCGGGGTTCGTCTTGTCCCAGGCAGTCTCGTGCAGTCTGCGGAATTCGCGTAGCTTGCGGAAAGCATTTTGGCCTTGGCTGGGGGTAGGGAAGGTGAGGACGCAGTGGGGTACCCATTCGTCTGGCCGTAGGGCGGGTGGCTTCGAGTGCTTGCCAATGAAGGGAAGTTGTTCGAGGTGGTGGTTCTATGAAGTTAGCATACAGATGTACAATTGATGACTTCTGCATACATCCAATAGTTCCTGCAGCGAGTAGATGATCTGATTCGACTTGGTGTTGCGGAAAATGTAGATGATCTCGCCGTGCTTGGCAGTGCCTTCCGGATCTACCACGTCACGAAGAGTGTAGGGCTTGACCGGTGAGATTACATGCTGGGCGGTCGCTTGTCGTCTCGCCTTTTCGTTCACGACGGTCTGGATGCGGAGGTGCTGCGGATTTGACTGCCTTTCAACATATGCAGCGATCTGCTTTTGCATATGCGCAACATGCTGAGGGGTGACACGGCTGGCGGCGGTGGGGCTGGCAAGGGAGATGGGCTGTAGCGGCGGCTTGTACCGCAGCCGGGCAAGAGTTCGAGGCATGGCGGCGGGGGTGGTGATGCCAATGGCCGCCGCGATGGTGGTGGATGAAAGTTGCGAGTCTCAAAAAGCACGGGCCAGGCCGCGGAGGTCCGCTTGATCCAATACGACAGCTGGGAACTCCAAACACGCGTTCACCAGCAAGCTTCCAAGCTTTACTATGCGCTGCGTCATTGCGATTGCTGGGGCGATTGATCCAACTTATAGCAATGCCTCAATGATACGTTTCTTTGAAATATCCCGTCCCCGCCCCTGCCCATCACCCAGATCAGCGACGTAATGGCCGGCGAGTCCCAGGCAGCCGAGCCCAAGTCTCCACCACGTGAGCGCCCGTGGCTGCTTGCATATGTATGCGCGTCGAGAATACAAGGGTTGTAGTCGCTGATAGTCTGCCAGAATCGCAAGCTCAGACACCTCCAAGGCATCACCATCCGCAACCTCACGCTTAGCCTATCTCCCCCAAAGTCGCGCGGGCGGACCATCGACGATGAAGCTATACCGAGTACGCTCAAGTCGCCCACCAAGGCGCTGGCGATGAGAGAGAGCAGGGGCCTGGCGCATTCGCGATCTTCGAGCGACCTCACCTCTCCCGAGGACACGCGGCGCAGCAATGGCGGCTTGCGCGAACCCATCCCGAGCACGGCGACCAGACCCGGATATGGAAGGGGACTGCGACGGCGCTCGACTATGGAATGGACCAATGCGACTCCGCTATTCCGCCAGAAGAAGCTCGAAGACATCACCGCCGGGCGCATGGCGGATACCTTCTTCAGCCTGCATGTCGAGGACCAGGACGACCCGGTATACATCTCAGAGGTCGCGGAGAAGGCGATGAATCCAAACTTCAAGTTTTTCGATCTCGGACCCTGTGGCCCTGGTGTCACGCGACTCGACAAACTTACTGTGAGGGTGTGGGCGAAGAGCGAGGCGATGCAGGATTGGCAGTACCTTATGGACTACACGGTGCAGTTCAGGTCGCTGCAGTTTATAGGCAGGACGCTTGGAAGCTTCAGACACCCACTTCCGCAGAACTGCATACTCTTCCACATGACGGACGGAATCTACACCAGCTTTACGGATCTGCCGGTAGAGGAGCGAATGCGCCCTGAACTTCTCGCACCGCCGAAGAACAACCCAGACGGGAAGGCCCTTACCTCTTCATCATACGATGCGCTGATGCGACTATCAACACTAGACGACTGCATCCAGGATGCGCTGACTACGCGGGATCGGATCGCCGACGAGATTGAGGGCATACTTGCGGCGAACAAGGAGGATATCTGCACGGTCGAGGCAGTCCCGGAGACGGAGGAAAGTCTGCGGACCGTCCAGGCTGCTGTTACTGCTGAGAAGAGGAGAGTGGTGGCTGCGCGGAGAAGGCGGGACGAGCTTCAAGCCAACATCAAATATCGACGAGAGAAGATGCAGGCGGGGCGGGAGTTGCAAGCGAAAGCCGAGGCCGCGCTTGATGAAGAACGAGCAAAGTGTACCGAGAGTAAGGAACTCATTGAGAAAGCTGCTGAGGATATCACTGGCCAACGGCGAAGGGTGTGCGAAGATCTCCTCAGGATCTTCCCTATCGAGCCTGTTCAAGGCAAAGCGCTCGCATTCACGATACGAGGCCTTCTCTTACCGAACTCCAATTTCGACGAAGTAAATCCAGACGTTACTTCGGCAGCGTTGGGATACGTCGCGCAAGTCGTCAACTCACTATCGCCCTATCTCTCCGTCATACTACCGTATCCAATATCGCCCCACGGCTCGACATCGACTATCGACGATCCACTCGCCGTCACGCAGGCCAACCAGAATCCTCAACGCACTTACCCCCTCTACATGAAGAACGTTGTCAGGTATCGCTTCGAGTACGGCGTCTTCCTCCTCAACAAGAACATTGAGATCCTGTCCAACTCTCTTGGCCTACGTCCGGTTGATATCCGCCACACACTACCGAATCTGAAGTACCTACTTTACGTCGCTACCGCTGGAAAGGGCGAGCTTCCAGCGCGGAAGGCGGGCGGCATCAAAGGCCTGTTACGGCAGGATGGTGTACTTTCCAGAAAAGGAAGCATGGACAGTACCGTCACAGCGAGCAGCGTTGGCACACCGACGACGGAATTGAAGAAGAATCTTGAGATTGCGGGGAAGAGATTGGAGATCAAAGCAAATGGTGCGTCGACTCAGGCACATGGTCATGCAGGGAGCAGACTAAGACCTGCAGCATAGCGCATATGTATGTTTAATGGTATGGGACATGTAGTCTAGCTGTTTTGGAAGGTGACAGCAGCCATATAGATGTAGACACCAATAATCGCAACACAAGCTTCGATATCACCGTTGCTTTTGGTCCGGGTAGCTACCCCCGTACTTCGATTGCTTGTTCCATGCACCTGTGACGCACGCTCCTGCTGTTTTTCTGTCGGATTTCGGAAAGGACCCGAGCCGCACCTCCATCAGGGTCCAAAAAGCATTCCGCATCCGCATCCGCATCACCATTCACGTCGTATCGAAATCTACCGCATTTCTAAACAGTAGCTTTAAGCGAGTACGCCGCTGACATAAGACGTACCCCTGGCATTCGCTCACAGCAGATCGACGCGCTACGGAAAGCCAAGGGCTCCACTCCACCGGTCGGAAATTGCTTGGGACGTCGAGCCAGCGAGACCTGACTTGCGGCGAGCCTCGGGAAAGCCAGAGAAAGGAGAAGCAACGCATCCGCTTTTATATCTCAGCCGCTTTATATCTTCTGCTGCAGGCTCTTCTTCGGAGCTTCTTCTACGTCGTCTGGGAGGTGTTTTGTTTCTCCTTGACAACAGACAAGGTATTGCGACTACCGACCCGTCTTCCGCGTTCCGCTTCTCCTCAACCTCACGATGACGGAACCGTTTCCTCCCCTCAACGGCGCACTGCCACACAATACTGCAACAAACGGCGCAGCCAGGCGGAGAAGAAAGTCTAGTGCGCTGGGTTCCGATGTACCTGGCGATGTCGACGTCCCAGCGTTGGCTACACACCGCACGAGCACCCCGCCGCTGAACAGCCCGACGAGCATGGACTCGGTGAGTGCTTTTTTTAACCCTCATCCAGGGTATGCAGGGCACGCGCTGACAAGACCCTGTAGAAACCAGAGAAATCCGCCCGCCGCTCCAAACGACGAACAACACGCCGCTACCTCTCCAAATTCAAGCGCCAATGCATCCGCCACACCTGGCTGCTCCCGCTCATCCTCGGCCTCACGATCGTGTTCCTCTACCTTGTCTACCCCTACGAATCAAACCCGCTGTCCGCCTGCCTCTTCCTGTCCTACCCGCTCGCACGCGACGACCCGCTCATCCCCGCCCACGTCCGCGCGGATCCCAATGGCCCAGTTCACTACGGCAAGGGCGGGCGCGACTTTGCTTTCGTCGGCTTCTACATCATCGTGCTGAGCTTCACGCGCGAGTTCTGCATGCAGCGCCTCATTCGCCCGATTGCGGTAAAGCTTGGGATCAAGAACAGGGATAAACAGAGCAGGTTCATGGAGCAGGCGTATACCGCGTTGTACTTTGCGCTGTACGGGCCGTTTGGCATCTGGATCATGAGCAGGACGCCTGTGTGGTACTTCAACCCTATTGGCATGTACGAAGGCTTCCCGCACCGCACGCACGAGGCCGTTGTCAAGGCGTACTATCTCCTTCAAGCGAGTTACTGGGCGCAGCAGGCGATTGTGCTGTTGCTTATGCTGGAGAAGCCGCGGAAGGACTTTAAAGAGTTGGTTGCGCATCATGTTATTACTGTCAGCTTGATCTGGTTGAGCTACAGGTTTCATTTTACGTACATGGGGATTGCGGTATACATCACGCATGATGTGTCGGATTTCTTCTTGGCTGTAAGTCGAAATTCTTTCCAACATAAAGATTCGTTCACTAACTTGTCCAGACCTCCAAATGCCTCAACTACATCGACTCCCCCATCGTCGGCCCCTACTTCTTCGTCTTCATGGTCATCTGGGGCTACACGCGCCACTACATCAACCTCAAGATCATCTGGTCCATCCTCACCACCTTCAAAACCGTCGGTCCATTCGAGCTAAACTGGGAGACGCAGCAATACAAGTGCTGGATCTCGCAATACATCACCTTCGCCCTCCTCGCATCGCTGCAGGCCGTCAACCTCTTCTGGTGGTTCTTCATCTGCAGGATCGCATACCGCTTTGTCGTGTACAAGGATGCGGATGATGACCGTAGCGAGTATGCGCCGACGGATGAGGAGACGGAGGAGAAGGAAAAGTTGATCAAGGAGGATGTGGAGGTTGAGAAGGATTTGGACAGGATTGAGGAGGCGCCGAGTACGCCGGCGAGTGGTGCGGGATTGCAAGCGAGTGGAAGTGATAGTATTGGGTCGAGGGTTAAGCAACGGAAGGGCGGGAAGTCATGATGAGGGATGGGGGAATGTCGTAATGAGAAGGAAGGTGGGGTTTGGGTCGGGATAGGGAATGGGGTTTAGAGGGGGACTGCGTCCTCTGGATTGTTGAGTGCTGGATAGGTATTTCGACTGCCGGAGCATTGGGCGGAGTTTCTGTATAGGTATGCTTTCTTTGATAAGCATGCGAGAAAGCAGCCAATGAGTATGTTAGATATTAATTCACTCCGTTAAACATCAGTCCACAGGCGCGCCTTCCTCCATGGTGTCTGTGCTTCCCTCGATGACGTTTACCGGAGTATGAAGACCCCGAGCTGCATCCTCGCACACGCGCAGCGCACCCTCGCCCGCCATATATCGTCTTTGTCGCTCTCATGCCTTCCATGGATTATGGCGGCTTTTCGCCGATATCAAGCAGTGCGATGGCGATTACTGTACTGCCTTCTTGCCGATGACGTCTGCAAGCGTGCGCGAAATCTGAGCCGCTTCTTCGCACAACACATCCTCGAGAATTCACTTTCGTCAATGGCCATCACATTCATACCAGCCATAATCTTTGCGCATTACTTGCCAACATCGCCTCCGTCCCTGATGGCATTCTGTGTGTGGTGGTCCGCATGCAGGCTAGCGCGGCTGGGGAGTCATATTCGTTCCACGGATGGCTCAGTTGCTGCATCCACTCATCACCTCGGCTCTTGCTCTGAAGGTATCACTCCCGCAATATTCTTGGTCTATGCGCAAAATTTTGGTGCAGCGAGGCGCCTACAATGGTTTGTTGTATCGAGGTTTGCGCGCTTTGAGTGAGATGTCTACTCCTCGCAGCCTCGAGGCGATCTATTCTACCGCGAAATCACACTTCAGCGAGGCGCCTACGATGGCTTATTGTGTTTAGTTGTGCGCACATTGGGTGAGATGTCTTCTCCTCGCAGCCTCTAAACATCACAAATATCCCGCACACCAAGGACATTCCCTCATGTATTGTTGGCTCTCACTTATGCCACTGCGCTTGGTTTGGCCTCTCATGGCTCTCCGGTTGTGCCGCAGAGTGACTCATGGAGCGAACCATGGTTGCGCCGGCCAACTGGACCATTCGCGGTAGGACCGACCACACTTCGACGAGAAATTATTTATGGTGGTTTGTGGCTACAGTATAAGGAAGGTAATCCTCTGTATGCTGACAACACATCAAGATGGCTACATCAACTCCCACGAGCAACGATCGGCTGCCGTCAACCCTGTTTACCGTATACCAGACGTATAAGCGCGGAACTTCTGTGATATTGGAATGGCTTTCCTCATTCGACAAACCCCTTGCTAGGAGATCCGGGACTATCGACCAACCGTCAGGACCAGCACCGAATTCCTTTACCGTCAAACAGCTGTTGGAAAAAGCGAGAAAAGCGTCGAAAAGCAAACGTATCCCTCCACAGACAGTTCATGACGCGTTCAAGGTCGTTCTCGTCAACCGTAACAAGCTCACCAAATATTACGATCGTCTCCCCACAGCGTCGGCCGATACCGTCGCGGCAACGGCACGTCACAAGGTCTTCAATGAGACTCTCGCCCAGGCTTATACCATTCTCTTCGCTTCACAGACATGGAAACTCGGACCAGCAAAGCAGACTACCAATGCTTCGCATGCTACTGCCACACCCAACACATTCGAAGTGTTAGCACACGTCGTCGAGGAGGAGCCTGAATTTGAAGCATGTGCATCGGACTTCTGGCAAAGCGAGATTCCCGTATCCACGAAGGCATCTACAATCGCCGACGACTCTGTTGGCGATGCCGTAGGTTTACATACCTATGTACTGGAGCTACAAAACACAGTCCAGACTATCAAGACTATCTGGAAATCTGCTGCTGACGGCGAAATCCCCCTGGCTGTAGCTGGGTTCCTCACCAACGTGGCTCATAGATACTTGTTCGAATGGATAGCTTCTCAGTCACCCTGCGGTGACCACCATGACTGGATAATTCATTATTTCTTCAAAGGTGGGCCATCGGATTCTAAGGAGGGGTTTCTACATAGTTGGATGGATGATATCGATGAATGGAAGAGGTCGAGCCAAGGAGAGGACTTCCTGGAACTCGCTCACAGCTATGGCCTCCTCTGGCCAAGCAACGAGATGCGCCGGTTCGAGGCGCTGGTGAAAGCCAAAGACAATTCGCTGACTACCGTGGAACGCTGCAGATTCGAGAACTACTTCAAGGCTCAACCGGAGCAGCGCGTATTGAGCAGCGAGCTTGTCGACTCCGTCCTGGATTGTGTGTCTACCAGCGAGACCAGAACTAGGGACGAACACTATCAGAAGCTTGACGCCATCATCGACAAACGTTATCAGCATGATCGAGACTTGGTGCAGTCGATGTGCCGAAGTATATATCAGCATCCATTATGGGACGGCCTTGTGGACTTCAAACAAGATCCTGGAAAGAGCTGGCAAAAACAAATGTATGCAGAAGACTATCTTCAGTTCACTTTAGGCGTTCCGCTACTGTGGGATCTGAAAGCATACCTGGATTCCGACTCCCCACCGCAAACGACTCTAATTCTGGGCGCACACATGTTTGTCGAAAGCTGTCGTAGCTTCATCTGGCAAAATCCTGTCGGAGCTCCGCCTCGCACCAACAACAGGATCAAGGTCCTGTCTTTCGCACGCAACAGCCGGATCGCGTTGCAGAAGTTTCTGCAGAACAACGAGGATTCACCGAGAGCTCTCCCATTGCGTTCAGATTCGTACGATAAACTCAGGAAGACTGTTAAACAGCTCGACAAGTTTACTTCCGGGAAAGTGTTCGATTTGTATTCTCAATCGCCTTGGGTCACTGGAAGCTACATGGCGACGATCGCGGCACGCAACATGATGCTCGGCCTCGGGTTGATGGGTGCGCAGGGTTACGTATCTGATCTGCTGCACTTGTACAACATGCTGCAAAAGCTCAGAGTTCCATGTCCTAAGATACCTTTATTGGAACATCTTTGCGACGTCCTTGGACCGATGGTATTCCCACATATGCAGGGACGGCCTACGAAGGACTTCGACAACATGGCTCGCCTTGCCAAACATGAGCCAATACTCAGAAAGAACAGAAAGTGGACGTCTGATGTCCAAGCAAAGATGTACGATGACCCGAAGAACAACTATTCGAATCTATCCGACTTTGCATCCGAAACGCTAGTGAGACAGTGTTGGTTCGACAGGCGCTTGTTAGCCAAGATACTGGACGAAAGGCTACTGGCTAAGAAGCACGATATCATCCCGAACATGATCGCTCGCTTTACGCCGTCCGATGTTGTCCTGCGCGTAAGAGACCACATTATGCCAGAATTCAACGGAACATTCCCTTTGGCAAAAGTCAATTACTTTGCCGTCATGGATTTAGTTCTCGACTTCTACAAAGAGGTTGCTTCTCAACTAGCTAATCCAGATGGGTTGCCAAGTTGCGCGCAGGAATTCGCGGGGCTAGGAGCCTCAGGTCGCTATGACCTACAAGCGAATACTCTGGAAGCAGCAATGTGTTTCTTGGGGGTCGTCAGGTACGACATCGATCATCTTGTAATGACACGCACGGATGCGTCTAGATGGAGAATGTTGCAGGAAGACGATGGCTTGCTCTTTCTGCGTGATGCGGTTGTCAAGGTCTGCGGACATGTCAAGTTGGAGGATTTCTTGTGGGAGGATATGTGAGGCGGATATAGTGGCTTCAGCAAATAGTGTAACGATAGTGTCGTGTAGGCTAGCCGAAATGAATACGTTTCACCTGAGCATCTGTGCGATCATCGCCGCTGTTAACAGTGAACAAAACTGAACTTTGCTTGCATGCTGATGAGTAGCCCGAGAGATCGTTCCTTCCGGTTCGTTCCCGAGAGCCAGACTAGCCTCATTGATCAAAGGCTTGGCGCGTCAGTCCGCTGAACAATCTCCCCGCCCGTGTCCCGCAGCAGCCTTTCATCCCAGGCACTGTCAATATCATTGGTGAAGCGAATCTTGCCATCTTTTACGCGCATCTGTAGCTTCCACTGTGTAGGTCGCACGGCTGTAATGGTGTCCACTCGCATGTGCAACGCTTGCGCTTTCCCTTTTCTCGAAGGTGCCATGCCTCGCGATGCCGGACGCGTCGAGCGATGAACGATCGCTGCTACACAACCGCAGCACCTTATCCAAGCCGAAACACTGTAATTAGATCCACGGCGCAGGTTCTCGTCAATCTTGCGACACCAGCCTCCCACCAAGGCCCCGATGGAAGAAGCGCGCATCTGGTGGTCAGCTTGATGGCGACGCATGGGTCATGCGACTGCGTTCTGCGATGGGGGCACTTGCAGGCTTCCCAACCTACACAATTTACATGCACGATCTCACTTTCGAGCGCGATCCCGCTGAACCATGGGATGATGCTGCGCTAAACTCTCACAGCCAGTCACGTGTGGGATGTTGCATGCGTTGCAGCCTAGAACATGATTTTTCTGCTTCCGCATAACTACAAGACTGCGAGCTCCCCCACCATTAAGCATAGCGACACGCCCCCAGCTTCCCCTTTCTCACACAGCACCAAATCGACTTGAAACGACATTTCCGATCACAAGCCCAGTCGCTTCACGATGTCTGCGCAACCCCCCACCAAAGCACCCGAGCGGCTTCCGCCGACCCTATCCGAGATTTATCGCACGTACAAGCAAGGAACTTCGATCGTCATCAGTTGGCTCGTGTCTTTAGATTCGTCAGCTACAACTAAACCGCGACCGAACCAGGAGCAACAAGACCAGTCACACGCAGCCGGGTTGACGGTGCGCGAGATCGCTGACCGCGCTCGCCAGGCTGCAAGCATGGGTAAGAAGCCACCCGTGGACATTCAAGCGGCTTTCAAGAACGTCATATTAAATCGCAGCAAGTTGACCAGGTACTACGAGGCGTTGCCATCTTCCACGCAAGAAGTTCAAGATTCGACTGAACGTCACAAGGTCTTCAATGAGACCTTAGCTGAAGCATATGCATTGCTCATGCCAAAAGTCAGGCAAAAGAAGAGGGCCACAAAGGGCGCACCGAGCGCGTCATCCGACGCATTCCCTCCCGCTACTACGAACAGCTTTGAGGCGCTGATTGGACTGATAGAAGCCGAGAAAGATCATGACGGATCCGTATCTCAATACTGGCAAGACAGCCTGCCAAGAACTAGTCCCAAACGATCCGCGATTGTAGAAGACCCCATCGAGGATGCGATTGCTATCCAAACCCACCTCACAGAATATCAGGCCATCGTGGACACTACGAATGCCATTTGGAGGTCGTTTGCTCGCGGCGACACATCCCTCGCAGCCGCCGGATGGTTGACGAACATGGCTCAGCACTTCATGAGAGGGCTGAAATGTCACGCGAGCAAGGACGTCACTATTCAGCAGGGCGTGTTTAGTGAAATTGGGGACTGTGGTAGTCTACGGTTAGACATCACTGCGGACGAATTGACATCGACGAAATTTAGCGAATCTGTAACGTCTTCATCCTTTGTCGAGCTAACTCATGGCACTGGTCTAATCTGGCCGTTCAGACTCCTGAACGCTTTTGTCGAAACAAAACAAATCCCGCGGTCTTTCGAGAACGAGCGGCGTCGTTTCCAAGACTTCTTTCGCAACCCGTCTGAGGAGCGCAGTGTCAAAGAGAATTTCGTTGGGGCAGTCGCCGAGTTCGCATCGCGCGATGGATCTCAGCTCTCTCAAGAGGATCGCCAAGCAGCAGGCGAAAAAATTTGCGCCGACCGTTACGACTATGAGCGCATGCTGCTCGGATCTATAGTCAAGAGTATTTCTCTACACCCCGCCTATCAAGCATACCAACTCGATCCGGATTCAAACAAAGCGCAAAATGCCTCGCCCCGGTGGGCGTATATCAGGCAAGGACATCTACAACACCCCTCAGCGCTTCCTCTTGTCGCTGAATCTTCGAAGAAGGTGACTTGGTTCTCGGAATTGGTAGCAACGCACATGCTACTGGAAAGCGGGCGTAGCTTTCTGCACGAATGCGAGAGGTTAGGAAAGACGCCGCCGAACTGCCGCATCATTGTACTAAGCCGAGCGAACGAAGTGCTTCGCGCGATAGCAGAGCTGCAGCAACATCAAAATCTGACAGGGGACACCATCGAGCTACTCAAGATGAACCTGGAGAAGTTCCTTGCTGTCAAGACGTTCGACGTTTATTCTCAATCACCTTGGGTCACGGGAAGTTACATGTCCGCTATATCTGACTTTACGCTCTACTGTGGCCTTGCGGTTCTCAACGAGCAGAAAATGTTCGCCGCTGTAATGCATCTTTACAACATGCTACGGCAAATCGATGCTGGATGCCCCCAGATACCAGTATTGGAACATCTCCAAAGTTTGTTCAAGTCAGTGGTTTTCCCGGGAAAGCAAGAACCTCGAGAGAAGTTTCTGAACACCTTTGAGATCTATTGTGGTGCGAGGTTCGTGAAGAAGTTAACGAAGGACTTTACGGAGCTGACCACAACGCCGAAGAAAGTACCCCAGCAAGTCGCTGGCGAAAGAAACAAGATCCGATTTAGTACCATGGAACTTTCCGCGCAAGACAGCTTTCACAATGTTTACATACCCACTCCCGAGCTTTGGGTGAAACTCACGGGCGACCCTAATGTAATTCGACGGCTTGATAGGGACAAACGCAAGACCGATATCCAGACTTCCTATCCGCCATCGGAACTTATCCGTCGCGCGCAAGACGTTATCGAACCAGAGTACGAAGGGGCGTTCCCAATAGCTCGGCTGAATTGTTTTGCTGTTTACGGTCTTTGCAGGGTCATACTGTTCGAGATCGCCACTCGCTTCGGGGAGTGTGGGCCTACGTTATTCGACCCGTTAACTCATGCATTAGACTCGTGTGGATATCTCGAGATACACAGTGATAGCATCGACTCGGCGTTACTTTGCGTTCGCCTAACGATGTCCGATGTCGACTCGAAGTTACGTGGTCGCAATGACCGGATGGCAGACAAGAGATTCCATGAAATACGCTCGGTGGCCATGACGCGAAACGCAATCGTGAAGGTGTGCGAGGGGAGGAAGCTTGAGGACTTCCTGTGGCAGAACTACTGAGTGGAGGCTTGAGTTTGAGATTGGCGCAACATTCACCTAGTTCTTTCTCTCAGCATGCGTGAAGGAGGATTTCCTTGAAGGGCTTGTCCTTTCTTTAGCACGTAGGTAGTGTTTGGTTGCAAATGAATGTCTATAGGGCGAGTTCGTCAGGTATGATATCAAACGAGGCTCTTCCTACATCGAAGTGGACGTCTTGATGCTGCTGCTGCAAATGCCTATGAAGGGCATCAGGAAAAGCGTTTACTAGATTTGTTGTTGAATCGTTGTTGAGGCTGGGGGTGGCGAGGACTGGTTAATTCTCGGTAGATTCGTCTAGAAGGCCGGGGATGCGCCGCAGTGCCGATCTAAAAGCAGGGTCTCTGCGGCTCTTTGCGAGATAGAGCCGGAAGGGACTCGGAGCGCCTCATCGTCGGTCGCATGCATTCGCAGTACATGGAATGCATCATCATCAAGACTACTCACCATCAGTTCATTCCGCGTGATACAAGGGCCGTGACTTCCTCAAGAGTGACGGCTACCCCAGACTTCGCTTTGCTACTTCCGCACCCGACCCACTCACGTGCTGGCGGCCAAGCCTATCTCGACCTGGCACATCCCTGCACGGATCGCTCACCGCCCCTAAATTTTCTGCTCGCGCCATCTCCGGCCTCGCCTCCTTTCCCTTCAGCCCTGTCAACTCCTTCCCCAGGCCCACTTTCTTTATATAAACCGTGTTCCGTGTCTGTGTCCTCTTTCCCCGGATTCACTCGAAACCACGCACGTTCACTTTCCACGTATTCAAGAGAGACTTACTTGACGACCACGACTATCGTTTGCTTATACGTGTCATTACTGAGATTACTCACGTCGCCACTTGTCGCTACATAAACTCGGTTTCCTCAACAATACATCCTCAAACCTCAACACTACATCAAGCATCATGTTCGCTCGTATCGCCACCCGCGTTCCCATAACCGCTGCCTTCGCCGGCAAGCGCATCGCACCCGCCACCATCCGCGCCAACTCCTCCAGCTCAACCAGCAGCGCAGCACGCGTCATGGAGATGGCCGCGCAGGCCGAGCGCCCAAGTACGTCATGAAAAGGAAGCATAAAAAATCAAGTAACCGTACTAACGTGTGTTTCAGCTGGCGCCGAAGCCGCCGTCCCCGTCATGTGGGCCGCCTGCGGTGTCCTCACCTACGCCGCATGGAACCGCATGAGCGAGCGCAGCGCCGGCGAGAACGTTGAGAAGCTGCTCATCGTTTAAGCGACGATGATTACGAATTACACACTTCTGCGATACCCCCGACACCTTCTTCCTCTTCTTCGTCGACGAGCGATCGGTCCGGCGATGACGGTCATTACCTATACTTGCGAGTGCTGTTTGGCATAGACGTATAGACCGCGTGTAACATAGCATGGCATTTGCGTGCGCGTGTTTGGTTGCGGCGTATAGATCGTGTTTTTTCTGTTGGTTGGATCAGATACTGGAATGGCATGGATATGTCTGGTTTGGCTTTGGGGGCTGCGGCCAGGGACTTGGGTAATGGTCGACGGCGTTCGACTTTGCGCATCAATGCAATGTGGGCCTCAGGCTCTTTCTTTACATCAACCTCATCGCCATGGTTTTGTACTGCGCATTTTCCGATGTGACGAAACCGCCTTCACCATACGCAAGCATCATATTCTTGGACCTTTCTTTCAGAGATTATCTCACGAGGCGCAATCTGACGGCCATGTGTATCCATCACATCACCAGCGGATGACACAACATGTCTTTTGTCATCTACATCGACGCCTTACATGCAAAGTCACTTCCGATGTTCAGATTTGAAGGATACATTTCTTTATGTACCGTCATTGGCTCAAGGACTTGATACTGCGTATGCAGCAATGTACCACGTAAACTCCTTCAGCCTCCGTTGACATCCCGATGTCGCCATGACTCCGCGCAAGCATTGACGCCAAAACCACTTTTCTTGGGCAGCCCATGGTGACGAGGCGATTACACCGTGCAATGTTGGTGTTTCACCGACGCCATGTCCCATCAAGACCTGCCCGAATGCCATGCCTGCAGCCGAGGCTGAAGCTCTTGCATTCTAGACAAACACCTAGCGAGGAACCCTCGGCTCCTCATTAAGGTCCTTGATAGCCGCCTTCAGCTCCTCAATATACGGCTCCATCTTTGCGACCACACCGTCACACGTGTCGATGATCTCTCTTGCTGCAACCCCAACCGCCTGTATCATCAGTTCCTTCGCTGGCTTATCACAAGCTGGCTGTCCTGCCTCACCCCACAGCCGACAAGAGTTGGCCGCATAGAGGTCTGCACCATAGCGTTGTCTGACTGTCATTCCAGGGTGTATTTGGTCATCTACCATGAAGTCGACCAAGTTAAGATTCTTCCTCAACCATACTCGGTGGTCTTTGGGCGCGTCTCTGACATTTGGCCACAACGGCGTAGTATCCTCGTTCATGAAACGACGCAACCACTCCCTCTGCTCTGCTCGGGTGTCGCCGGTGTCAATATCAGTCGGATCGTCTTCTGGATAGAGCGCGTCTTCCAAGAGGAAGTCGCCTAGATCCTTCCTGAGATTGCTGAAGTCCTCACAGGGTCCATCGCCACCGCGGCCCCGCAAGTCGGCTGCGTACTTGAGTAAGCTTTCTGGTGTGAGGGTGCCGGTGTCCGTCAATTCTGGGAATACATTCTGCACGAATTAGCAACCAATGCACCGTCTATTACTGGCGGGATGGACGTACCGTCATCCAGAGGTGAGCTTCTCGGGCGTCGGCTTCTTCGAATGTGGCCTCGGGATCCAGAAGGCGGTGGATGGCGATGACTTGCGATACGGTCACACCCGGAGTTCCTGGCTTAAGGTCTGCCTTTGTGATGGCTCTTATGATCTCTTCGAACATCCACTCTTCTGCAGCGATGCCGAAGCGTTGGATCAAGAGGGTAACATCGAGCCAACGAGCGCTGATATCATGTCAGCTCTTGGCTAGTGATGGGAAAGCATACAATACGTACTCATCGAATGAATAGAAAACCATGTCTTTCCGCGTGAGGCTTCGAGTGTTAGTGGAGGAAGATGGAGAGGAAGTCAGTGATGGTGTACACATCTGTATATATACATCCTAGCGCCCCCGCTAGTGGCTGCCATAACAGCTGTAAAGTCGTCGCCGCCTTCACCTTTACCTCGATGATTTTGACGACGAAATGAGACTACCAAAAGGATCTCATGCCCTCAGACTTGTGATTCTGAGTTCTTCGAGACGTCATTGGAAGCAGCGTTATATACACGTAGATTTGGATGGGTGAAGGGGTACCTTCAGTCTAGGTAAGTCAGCTTCAGGGCTGTTCCGAATAGAGGGTGTATTAATGAGGGCGGCGTAGAAGCGCAAGTACGCTGTATGACTCCTGAAGATACTATGATCATCAGCAAGAACTCATAAAGCTGGATCGCAGCAGGTTGGTGATATGCCTGTCGAGTGTTCGTAGCTTCTGGGTTCTCTTTTGGCCGGATCGTGCTCCAGCGTAGAAAGTTTGCCCAAGCAAGATGCGCGACATCTGTACAAGATGCTGACATCGGTGTTCCGTTGTTCATGTCTGTATGTATGTCAACTAGCTGTTAGCGACCTTACAACGCTGTAAGTGGTTTCGAGAGCGAAGATGCTGCTTATCGCCGTTTGTAAGTGATTCCACGATGGCAAGGAACTATTGTAGGAAGAAGCAGAGCTATCAGCATCATTGATAGAAGCATATGTCGTGATTCATAGTATGAAGCGTAACCGCGAATGTGAATGACTGGGAACTAAAATCATCAGTAACACTTGTGATTCACAACAAGATTTGAGTCGGCCTCATGTCCTCGCAATCGCCAGGGAGGACTGCCTATCGCAACGTGATAAACAAATCGGAGAGTCTGGTCGCTATCGTCAAAGGTTCTCGCTGTCCTAGGGTTGTGTAGGTTATCAGAAAGCAGATAATCCCGCCGTGGATTGTAGTGGCTGGTCCAGCTGCAAATCCAGCACGTCGCGCAGAATCATGGCCAGGGCTTATACCGCGCCCTATACTGAGTCATTGATTGTAGTGTTCCTGCTTGGACGCGACAGGTTCGCACGGCTTGCTCATGACGCGAGCGCGGCCTCATCGGACTTATGGGTCATGGTAGTACTGGCAGGAGCGCGTCGTTCGGTTGAGGCGCGTGTCATCGAGCGCAACAATGAGCGGCATACCACAGTCATACTGGTGGGGAGGCCGAAAATGGGTGTAGTCGCAATCCAGAAGGATGGCGCGAGTGTTGATGTGCAGAGGTCGGCCCTGCCGTTGGCGTGGCGGCGCTAGCGCCCACCAGGGAAAAGCGCGAGCCCCTATGACGTCGGGCAGCCACGTTCCTCATCTTCCAGGAACCACACGCGTACCATCAACATCATCTCATGCGACATTCCCGAGGTCTGTTCCTACATTCGCGGCTATGTATACAAGTTAACCCGACGCTAGAACGGATCCGGATTGCTCCACTGACGAGTAGACACGAGATCAATCGTCGCAGGGCAATTTGACACACCGAACGGAACATAGCCACCCACCGTTCCATACTCGCCATGGCACCCCTCAAAGACATCCTTAGCGTGAGCCCATATGTCCGACAGCGAAGCCTCACACTTTGACCAGTCGCCCTTGTAGTGGACTTGAACCGCACACGTCGTAACCACATTCGCCCACCACCTCTCGCCGGGCCTCTTGTGAACCAGCTGCACCTTGTTCCGGTCGAGACCCTCCAGCGTCGCAAAAGCGGCTACACAATCATCGTACTGCGCAGACTCGCTCGTGGTCTGGCAAACGACGTCGTCTATATTGGGGTGGGAGAAGGCGAGTCTACCGAAGTCAGGCTCGATGATGGCTTGCCGGACAATAGGCTGATACCACTCTGGGTAGATTGCCATCTCGTAGAGCTTGTCTGAGACTGCTTCTCCGGTACCGCGGCTGGGGTCGGCATCCTCCAAGTCCAACGCTGTGTTGTGACGACTTGGGGCGCCTGGTTCAAAGTCCTCGAGCGCCTCGTTCTCTGCTGTTGTTTTCGTGACGCTCCACATACGTGGATACGGGGGGTAGGTGCCGAACGTCTTTTGCATGTACCGTGCGACGGCGAAGTAAACGTAGTTCTCGTTGGTATATGCGGCACTTTGCACGTCCCTCGCTGCCAGAAGTTTGGCGCGGCCGGACTTGTACGTCGCGACTGGCTTTTCGTCACCAATCATCTGTTCAGTATCGTGGCCTTGATTGTGTTAGTCGTACGTAGAAAGTGATGACTATACGCGGCAATACTTACATCCGCCTTGACAAATTTCCGTCTTCGTGTCATTCACGTGTAGCAACTCATGGAAAGCGGTGCAGGCTATATCTCGTAAGCAACGAGCGGGAACTGGTGGGGATTTGAGGTTATAGCTTACCCCGGCTTCGCATGTTCCTCGTATTGAGCTTCTTTTGGCCAGTCGCGTCCGCGAAGATATCCTTCTCCAATTCCGAGTGGTCCTTGAGGATGGTGAAGAACGCGGGACAAAAGTTGAGCCCATCGTACGTCCATGAACCTCTTGTCGTGGGCATGTAGTAAGCAGCAGTGGAATCATCGCATTGTTTCGGCTCACTAGGATCATCGCAGTGTATTTCGATATAGCGTTCAAACCACCAGTCGGCCCAACCCCGTCCTCTTGTCGCTTGCGTACCGCGATAGAAGGTATCGTAGATGCGCTGTCGGTATCCAAGGTTCTTGCTCGGTGGACCCCAATATTCGATTGCCGCTTGGGTGTCGAAGTTTATAATTTTGTTGTTACTACCCGTGACTGAAAGCAGTTCATCGCTATTGTCAAACGCCGCATTGGCAAGAAGTACCTAAAGATGGAAGGACAACATCAGTGCATAGCCGACATGTAACTGGATCAAAAACTTGCTTACAGCGTCTGAAAGTGCTTGGCGAATGATGCGCTCTTGACCAGCATCGCAGTTCGAGCCCTTGAAGATCGGAGAAGTCTGGATACCCACATTCTGACCACTACATGGCTGAATAAGAGATGTCAGGAGGCAGAGAAGGAAGAAAACCGCCACCCTGGCGGGATACATATTCGCGAGCGACTATCGGAGTATGTTGCGACTGGCTTTTCGAGGGGTCTAAGATCGGGGAGGGTAGAGGGGAAGTCGTGTATATATATTGAAGGCATAGGCCGTGCGTTGTGTACCTCTTGGATTCCATCCTACTCTTTCACTTCCCAATCTCACTGCGCTACTCCCGGGGTGGGGGAAAAGGAGCGCCCGTGACGCCCTAGTTGATGTATTTTGATGACTATATCGCCCCTCGTAATGAGCTATAGGCCTTGAAAAAGTCAACGTAGCCGGTAAAGCATCACATGGATACACAATCGCAATGCCTGTGACTCGATGTGTTCGTGATACCCACTCGCGTTTTGACCTATCGCAAATACAGTTCGCCATGTGCGCGCCTAGAGGTTTCCCGGTCCTGCGCGTGTATGATTTTCGAGGCCACATTCCTCCCCATTTTACAACTCATCTCGAGTGAAGACATGACCTCATCCGAACCACCAAGCCAGAAAAGACCCTCCATCACCTCAATATCTTCCGATATATCCCTCTCATTACCGAATTTCGGGACCGATTTGTTCCATTCTTGTCGATGCACCCAGCTGAAACCGACATCGGTAGCATTCTGACCATCCTCCCAGCTCTTCCCAATCATGGCAGCAAGCCCGCGATCGGAGACGTGTCGACGGGTCATCACACGATACAAGTTCTCGTAATGAAATCTGCCGTTCGCACACTCATAGTCTTCCGGCTTGCTTGGTGTCATCCAGGGCCTCTTGCGCCAAAACCGGTCTTCCCAGTAGAAACCCATTCCGTCCCACTTGGTGAGCGACATCAGATTGGACTCCGCGGATGTCGTTAGGAGACGGTCGGGGATGTCAGCGTCAACGGCTAAGTTGAGATATTTCGACTTGAACGCATGCTCGGTAGCGAAGTAGGTAACGTGCGTTGATGTATAACTTAGCGGCGACAAGAGATTTTTCGACAGCGAGCCCAGCTTTTGGAGGCTGTCAAGTAGTGGACTGCCATGAACGGGAGCCGCCAAGACGACTATATCATACTCTCGGTCTTCATGTAATGCGAGATCGGATGCACCCGCGATTGAGACTTTGTAGCGTCGATCTTGGCCATGTTCAATTCCAACCACCTCGCTTCGCAGTTGCAAGTCCGCTAACGAGGCGTTCATCATCGCGCCTACAAGCCGTATGTTGCCGCCGACTAAAGATGTTTCCTTTGACTCTCTGCAAGCCATCATCGCATCGATAGCACTTACCTGTGTTAGATCAAGAGAGGAACGCGCGCGTACACATGGCTCGATGACCTCGATCTGGAATAGCTCGGTGGTACCAAGGCCTGTAAGATAGTCCGCAGCGGAGAGTTTTGCGATGTCGCCATGCAGACCTACCCTTCTGAGCTCTTCACCAACTTCGCTGAATCGGTCCGTACGTCCAAAATGCTGGAATCTCTCAGTCGTGGTATGGACCGCTCGCCGGAAGAGTGCAGGCGAGCTGCCGTACTCGTAACGCATGTGGATACGTCTCCAAATAGATGGAGACGTGAAGTCGCACGAGGCCTGCAGCCCAGGGTCTAACTTCAGATCGTTCCAGTGGAGGAGACGCAAGGTATCCCATACGGACATGTTGTTGGACCATACGACTGGTTTCACAATCCAGAGCAGACCGTGCTTATCTAACCATTCGCTCAGTCCCAAAGCAAGCAATGCCTTGCCGATAATTTCCTTGCCGTTCCAAATGCCTGTTCTTCTTAATGGGCTGTGAAGACATCCCAAAAGCGACCAGCAAGTTTCCTTGTCTACCAGAGCCAGGTCCAGCTTCTCAACGCTTTGCGTGATACATTCATCGTCCGTAAAGAAACTGGCAGCACCAGTTTCGAGAATGGTCCGGTTCTGGGTATCCGGTACTGGGAATGAAGCGACTCGTCCGCCGATGCGTTCGCTAGAGTCGAAGATCGTGATCGAGAGTGGTTGGTCCGGAGGAGCCTTCTCGCGTAAATGGTATGCTGTGCTGGCGCCGCTGAGTCCTGCACCGACGATGGCTATTTTCGTCTCCCTTCCAAGTGCATCGTGGCGTCCTGCTTGACGGCCGTTGGTAGACGCGCAAGTGAGTGTAGCGAGAAGCGTGAGTAGAGCGCAAAAGATCGAAAGCGCCATGGTGGGGGTGTAGTAGAAAGAGACAGATAGGCGGAGATAAGTGTCCGTCGGCGTGCGACGATTCACAGGGCTGGTACATGGTAGTACCATGACGTAAGCGCACGTGCTGCACAACCTAAAGGCAGGCACGCCCATCTTGACCATTCATTCAATTCTACAAAGATGACATAGTAAATATACCGACCAGACCTGAGATAACATGAGAAGGGGAAGACGGCGCTCGTTCTTCGAAGCTCTTGAGACCTTGTGCACCGTGTTATGGGCTCTGCTTCGAATCCTCAAGACACGTCTCCACCACCTTCTTCGTGCCTTCCTCATTTTGCAATTTCAGACTCAGCCGCTCCAATCGCTCTAGCAACGCTTTCTCAGTCTCTCTGAACCTCTGTTCCTCAGCCTCATCGTCATCGTCGGCCCCAACATCACCCGCGGTAGGCGTCTTGTCACCCTCTCCACTTCCCTCTACCGCCACAACCCCCTCCGTATTCTCCTCGTCTCCACTCGTTCCATGAACACCGTCCTTTATCACAGCAGCCCTCCTCTTCTTCATCTCTTCCGCTCTCTTCAGGCAGATATCTAACCTCTTCAGACTGCTCTTCGGCCACGACGTCTTGTAATCATGGCCTCTTTGCGCCGTCTTCGCGCCCTCCGGCAAAGTCACCCAGTCCAGCTTACTCTCAACGTGAATGTGTATATCCGGCTCCATCAGCGACGGGAAATCCAGTGTGCCAACTCTCAGCTCAACAACTGCCTCACCCAGGTGGTTACTAGCCCAGAGCTGAACATGACATTGCGGACACTCGGCATACCGATCGACAAGGCCGGGTTTAACTTCTCGGCTCAGGAACGAAGGCTTCGTCGGAGACAGTATCTGGATGTTGTAGAGTTCGATGTTCAGACTCAGGTAGAAGGCGCTACCCGTCTGTTTCTGGCAGTCCATACAGTGGCAGGCATAGCAGTAGAGCGGGGCTGTAAGGAGCCTGTAGCGGATGGTATTGCAGACGCAGCCGCCACTTAGCGCTGGGAACGGTTTCGACGTGGACATAGTGGTGCTCGTGGTGCGGGGTCGGTCCGGCTGGAATGGCAGTGATTGATAAGCTGGAGGCGGGGTGACACGTAGGAGCTGTGACGTAGTAAGCGACCGAGCCGCTAGTGGGCATTTCGAGATTAGCGTTGATCTTCGCGCGGAGGATTCGCGACTTCACGATACTGCTGGAAAGGTTCATCAGTAACATTGGACGGTGATTCGAGGACCATCGCGATGAGCAACCACCTCCTTTCAAACGAGATCGCAGAGGAGCATTATGACACGGAGATTGACGATGGCATGAGGGCTATCTAATAAGAAAAGATACTTGACAACTTGACGGTTGCATGCGACAGAGCACAGCTATTTATGCCGTTAATTCTCTACGATACTACCAGAAAGCACGTGGTATACTCATATGGCCCAGAGCGAAGCATGCACGTGGAAATTTTGCGCGACTGCTGGAAACTGCATCTCGCAAGGAACCCATACTTCATGCTGGCGGGTACAATCCCACGGACGTTGATGAAACTACCAATATCAGGCCTTTGAAAGTCGACAAAGTGGTCAGCGTCCTTGTAAAGGTGTTATCAAGGTAGCTATTGCGACTCTTAAGCTCTCTGCTTTATGGTAATCGACGAAGATCCGTGCCTTACGCTGCTTACAGTAACGACAACGTCTCCAGACCTGATGCCGGAACGTATCACTGCTAAGGCTCGCCCTCGCCATGTTCTATGAACATTGCCCTTAAAGTCATGCAGATTCTTATAGTACGCAGACCCAAGCGCTGCCAGAGTGGCATCTCCATGTACCTCGACGGTAAGGGTATCGTCGTCATTCATCTCGATGTTTCCCTCCTGATCAGCGAGTTGAAGTTCCAGGTACGCTAGGTCTTGTCTGTCTGCGACAAGTTCACCGGACTTCTCGTTGACAATCCTAACTGAAGCAACGTCAGCGGAGCGGAGCGTGGAGCGCGAACGCTCCTGTCCGCCAGAGTATGCAACAGCAAGAAGTTCGCCAGGCTCGTAAGCTGTCGAAAATCTAGCGGTGTATCTGTTGGCTTGGTTGCTACTTGCGCGCCCAAGCGAGCGGCCATTCAGGAAAAGTTCTGTTTCCTCTTCCTGAGTGATGACCTCAATGTAAGCCTTCTGGCCCTCACAACCCTTCCAGCCCCAGCCCTCGATCGCATCGGAATCTCGCCAGGGCGTCGCCTTGTAATACAAGTTAGAGACGTCCAATGGACGTACCGCAATTACGGGTTGAGACAGGAGTTTCCAGCACGCTTGGGCTACGAAAGCCGAAGCATTGGGCACGCCAGTGATGTCTAAAGCGCCGCAACCCCCTACTAGATGTGGCCAAGGCTTGTACAATTTTATAGGGGTAAACCTGCTTGCCTCATAGTCGTGCACACCAATGCCTACCTCGCCAAGGTAGTCCCATCCAGTCCACATGAAGTCTCCTATTAGGTTCGGAATCTTTTCAACGTTGGACCAGTTCCTAGGAAGATCAGGTGGACAGGTTTCGGTACCGAGCATCATCCTTGAAGGGTGTAATTTGGCATCTGATTGGTACCGGATATCTCCATAATTGTAGCCCGCAACATCCATGTACGAATAGAGTCTGCTGGTCACAACATTGGTGTGATTGAACTTTGGGAAGTACCGCATGAATGAGAGGAACATGCTGGCGATGATGTTGAAGAAAGTGCTAGAGGCCAAATCCCCCAGACCGCCTTTGTTATCTGCAGGAGGAGTATTTGGATCCCCCGGCGGGATTTTTGAAAACATCATCAGGGCCAGCGTAAGATTGAGCGCGATAGTATTAGGTCGGGATGGATCCAGCTTGTGCGTGAGGTCCAGGAGCTTCTTCGCGATCGTGTGTCCGTAGGCGGATTTTGGCTCAGTGATCTCGTTACCCAATGAGTACATAACAACTGAAGGGTGGTTACGAGCTCGTTCCACAAGAGAAGCAACTTCGTACTCCCAGCGTTCGTTGAAGGTGTTGGAATCGTCATATTTAGACTTTGCCTGGTACCAGTAGTCGGCAAACTCATCCATGACGTACATGCCTACCTCATCACATGCTTGTAGAAGGACTTCTGAGCATGGATGGTGCGACATACGAATAGCGTTGAAGCCATTCTTCTTCATGATCGACACGCGCCGCAGTTCCGCAGCTTTGAACGATGCTGCGCCGAGGATACCGTTGTCTGCGTGTATGCAACCACCACGCAACTTCACAGTCTGGCCATTGACCAGGAATCCATGACCAGGCTTCAACTGCAGAGTGCGCAGACCGTACTTGAACTTATAGAGATCGCCGTTGATGACGACAGTGCAGTCGTAGAGATTCGGAGTCTCAGCGGACCATAGATCTGGGTTCGATAACTCGAAGTTTTGTCTCAGCTCAGACGTTGTCGTTTTTGTTGTCCACTGGATCGCGTTCCTTCCTCCTCTCGAAAGCTCGAAAGATACTTCAACGTCATCCTTCTTTTCGTTGTTGAGTAAGACCTCGAATGTGAGAAGAGCAACTCCACTGGCGGAGAGCGTTGCCAGCCTGATCCCGTCCTTGCAAAGCAGATTGTGGTTTCGAACCATGAGATGAACGCTGCGATGAATTCCGGCTCCAGTGTACCAGCGCGCGTTAGGTTGTTCACTGTTGTCGGCATGTACTTCGATGGTGTTCCTCTCGCCGAGCTTCAGGTAAGAGTCTACGCGAACCTCAAACTTGGTCCAGCCCGCCAGACAACCGCCGACTTCTGTGCCGTTCACCAGCACGCGACTGTGCCGGTAAACACCATCAAAACTCAAAGCGACCACTTTGGACTCCAGAGTAGTAGGCGCTTGCCATGTTTTGCGATACTTGTACGTTCCGCCAAGATAAAATCCGCCATGAGTTCCAGCGAGGGCGTCCTCCCGCCGCCCTTCTACCTGCATAGCATCGTGAGGAAGGTGTACTTTGCTCCAGCCAGTTTGTCCAGAGCGTTGGAACTCCCAATCTTCGTTGAAAAGTGTCGCTACTTCGGCCATTTTTTTGCATCTACTGTGCACTGGAAGTTGAACCAAGGGCATGAAATTTGAAGGTAGGGGCTTAACTTTCTAACACGGGGTCAGCAAAGTTCTTGTAGCGTCAAGCGTACCAAAAACGTACACGGCCCTCCTCGGTACAATAATCTGCATCTTGGAAGATGCTTGCGCACAGGTACGTATATCCACCAATGATTTGGTGTTACATAGAAGTTTCCAGCCTTGTAGCCCTGATATTGTTGTGCAGAGAATCCATTAGCGCTTACGTCGAAAGTCGGATGCACAGAGGCCGGGTCCGGACGCCTTCTGTAGCTTCGGATGCACAAGGTCCCGAGTCCGGACGCCTTCGCGACTCACAAGCTACCCAGCGCGTGCGCCTATCATGCACTTAGTTAATAACTCGAAGCAAGCGCCTATCGTGTCGCGGCTTTTATGCCGACTCTTAGCAGCTAGCAAAAAATTGTCATATCGCGTAGGCCCAGGCGAAGGAAGGAACCAGATTGCAGCCATTGTGGTGACGCAGAAGCGCCTGCGTATTACAGCACTAATGACGGCTCAACGTCGATACTCGTGAGGCTGCAGATGTCGTTGTGGTGGAGAAGCCGTGGTGTTGAACACCGCGATGACGCGCCGCAATTGCTTGGCGTCGGACCGCCGATTGGCCACCATCTCTCAGGTACACACCACACCATCCGACCGCCATTAACACTTCAACGCCATCATCTCGGCAGCCAGCGACTGTACGACAAGTGCGGCCATCTATATTGCAAGCTCATCGTCGTGAGTACGTAGTGATGCTATCATCACCGACGTACGCAGCGCGCGTCATCACAGCATCTGGCAGCGCGCGTCGTAGTGCCTCACGTAACGCGACCGCGTCATAGAATCTCTTGCTAATCTCAAGTCAACTAACGTCAGCTCGCAGCCTCTTGGTGAAACGTCAGTCACTGGTTGGGAAGGGTTCGGGAACGTCTCAATCCATGAAGAGTCGCCTGCTCTACGGCTCACCGAACGGCGCCTTTCCATTGTCGTCTCATCCCGATTCTACATGCCAACGGTGCCTCCCCAGATCATCGTGTCCGGCCTACAACGCGAAGCGGAAGTCGGGATGATCGTCGCCCAGCGCCTTCGTACTCTGGTCAAGAACCTCCGGCATCTGCAACCTTGCCTCATCGCGCTTCTTGTTCTCCCTCTTGCAACCAAAGAATGTTACCGTCGCAGCAACAACACCGATACAAGCCAGTCCGAGACCCGTACTAAACCCAGTACGAAACACCGGCGCCTCTTTAAACAGAAAAACGTTAGAGCTAATAAAGGCCCCTGCAGTACCGAAGTTGATAATTACAGCAATAGCCACGGCCCGCTTGTACCCAGAACCGCAGTTCATCGAGACCCAGATAATCGAGATCGGCATCGCGAGATAGCATCCACTGGCAATAAAAAACATGCCGCAATACCGCACGGCCGGGTTGGACGGGTGCACAATCTCCACGATGAGACCTGTCGCGAGAACTGCCCAACCTAGGACGTAAAACAGATACCGGCGCTGCAGCCACTCGCTCATGTACGCGAAGATGACCGAGAAGGCGGCGCCGACAAGATACACAGGGATTGTGTGGACCTGCGCTTGCGTCGCGGTATAGCCAAGGCCCTTTAGGATGGTCGGTTGGAAGTTCGCGAGAGAGTTTGCGTTCTCAGTCACTCCGATGTTCATCAAAACGCTGGTCACGATCAGTTCAGTTATGCGCAAGAACATACATGCCACTTACCCAGTCCAGATCTTCCAGTCTTTGAGGAAATGTAACGCCTTCTTGAACGATATCTCGTCGTCGGCAACATGACCCCCATCAGCTTTTATGCGAGCTAGCATCAGCGCCTTCTCGTCGGGAGACAGAAACTTGCATTGCTCGGGAAATGGGGGAACGATCGGCCAACAGGCTATGCTGACGAAGATAGTCACACAACCCTCGATGATGAAGATCCTAATTCACGTCAGTAGATGTACGCCAAAGGACTCAACAGTTAACCTACCATCTCCACGCTCCATACCCGGCTGTACCGTCCATGCGAGCGATTAACGAGGAAACGAACCCGTTGATTGCGCCCGCAACAATACCTGCGGTGCAAAAAAAGACGTAGCGCGTCAAGTACTCGCGCTTCGAATAATACGCGCCGATCAAGTATGCCGCTCCCGAGATGTAGGCCGACTCGGCGATGCCTTCCAGCAGACGGCAGACAACGAGCTCCTCCCATCGCTTCACGAGTCCGCATCCGATCACGGTGATGCCCCAGCAGAACATCATTACGCAAAGACTCTTGGGCCCATACTTCTTGAAGGCGATTTGCAACGGGATGCCAGCGACGAGGTAACCCAGGTTAAAAACCCACACGGCGATGTTGAACCTCTGGCCGATGAGGTTCAGCTCTGTCTCCATGCCCTGGATCTTTGCATTCCCTATGTTGGCTCTTGGGGGCGAGTTAGCAAGGCATCGCAACGATCAAAGGTCATTCAACCAGACTTACCGGTCGATGAAGTTGACCAAGTAAAGTATCCACAGCACTGGCAAGATCCGAAAGTCGAGCTTCCGGATGAGTCGCCTCTCCGCAGCGCGATCGAAGCCATGCTCGCTCGTTGACTCTGCTGGGGAAACCGATGAGTTGTCGACGTGAACTCCCTTCTCGACGATACTGGCGTCTGCCATTGTGGCAAAGTCTGAGGAAAATGAAGGAGGGGTATGATCACTACTGCGAAGCTGTTCAAAGAAAACTATCAGTAACAGCTCTCGCTATGCAATGCGGACAGGGACAAGGTATGCTGCAGGATATACGAGAGCTTACAAAAATTACGCTCGGTGAACATATACTTGCTCACGGGATGTACCTGCCGTTGCTATGAGCATTGAATACCGGTAAGCACCCAAACTGTACGACATCGCCGCGCTTTGAGAATCCTCAGAGCTGGGCGAGGCTGCCGACGTGGCGTGCCATTGCGGGCTGCTGTTGAGGACAACCGACAGACCTATCATCAACCTTCGCCGCATTCAGTCCAAGGTCGATGAGTGATTGGCCAGGAGTACGGGCAAGCCATGTGAAGGAGCGGCACGATGGATGCTTCGAATCACGATGGATGGCGCTAATCGTGCGGGATTACAACCTGGTATCGAGACCTTGCAGCCCCTCATCCTGCGCGGGCTGGGTACCCACCTTGGCTATCGTGAACCTATCGAAATATAGTACTATCGGCAGATGGGCTTTATGCAGAGCTGGCGCGGCGGCAGACTTTTGAACACCCTAAGCGACCCGGGTCGGAACAAGAATTGAGATTCCTCGCGAGGCGCACTAGGTGCGGCGCGGCGGCGCCTTCGGTCGCGGCGCTCCTCCCCGCCGCCACGGCCCGCAAAATGAAAGCTCAAACACGACTCAGACCATCATTCGGTCTTGGATCTTCCACCTTTGACCATTATCGTGGGTCGCTGGCCGAAGAAATCGCAGTTCCGAGAATTCAGCCTGCGCCAACATCAGGATGTAGAGGAAGTGCGGAATTGTGCGCGCCCGCCGGCACATCTGCGACAGCGACACCCACCACCAAGCTATCGCACAACCAACGTCATCATGGGAGCCTCAGAAGTAATCCACGCATACTTGTTCTCTCTTGCCGTGATGGGATGAATGAACGGATACCCTTATGATACGATGCCGCCAAGAGTCAGCCAAGGTCTATCCTGCCGCCTCTTCGAATGGCTTACTTGTTCGAGACAGCGGGACGGGGCTTTCCACATGCGAGCCTCGTGCGCTTTGCATCGCAAACTGAGCCGCAGTCCTACCCAGTCAATTTCCGACACTTCTCGTCGCTCCCGGGATTCATTCCTGCTCTCAAGCTGTTACGTGAGACGAGTAATGCAAAGGTCACTATGCACCGTTCACTAACACATCTCCCGTCGCAATGTGACTAAATCACTTTGCAAGCGGCCTGAGGATTCGTGAAATAAGATGAGCACACGCACACTGGTATGCTCGAATGATGGGAAGGATGAACAGCCCAAGGCGTCGGATCCATGAGCTGGGTGTATCTGCTTCCAACGAACGACGGAGTCTACTATAAGGGTGCTCGCACAAGTCTTGGCTTGACTCATGCCTCTCCCATGCTCTACCTACTGGCATTACCTTTCTGTGTCACATGATCACCGACAATGATCTTCATCGCGTATCCAGAAGAGCAACGAGATGTGCAGTGGGTGACTGTAACGCTGACCGTTATCTCGACACTCTTGTTGACGTGGCGCATATCCAGCACAATCACTAGCAGAGGATGGCTGGGTCTCGAGGATGCTTTTGTCATAATAGCAAATGTAGGTCTTTGCTTACGCTTCAAACACGCTAGTACTAACACCCCTTGTGTCTTACCTGCAGCTATTATTACCTATACAATTATATATTCTATAATATATTCTATTTACTCTAGCATAAGGTTCTATACCTATTCTTGCTATCTAAGACAGCTTAAATACTAACCTACATCTTAACCTATATATTATAAAGAGTAAAAAGTACGTTAGTATGCCTCTACTATTCTGTGTTACTACTAATATTGCTTTAAGTAAGAAAAGCAGTCTCTACTAAAGAGAGCTAGTAACCTAGCTAACCTAGATAAACAAGTAGTGTATTTACTATAGCTATCTTAGCGTAGAGAAAGTATTTACCTACTTAGTATAGACCTACACGTATAGCTATTAGCGTATACTTATTATAAGTTATATTACATTATATACTAAGTAGGCGCTTAAGGTAGAATCTATATAACTTAATACTCTATTAAGTATATAAGTTTACGTTTACGTTTACAGGTATTTATTAATAATACTTAGCCTATATAGCTACTTAGTAGTAGGTTACCTTTACTATATTAGTAAGTAAGAGCTAGTAGTATTTAACGTTAATAAGAATATATAGTTAGATTAGAATTCTAAAAGTAATAGAAGTAAAAGAAAGTGCTATAGTATGTGTATATTATATAAGCAATAATAACGCTAAAGTGCCTTATATACTCTACCTCTAACTTATATTACTATATGCGTAAAGTTGTATCTTAGAACTGTTACCTCTATTTTATAGTATACTTAATAACTTATTATAATAAGCAACTTATAACTTCTAAAATCTATATACACCTATATAATTAGGTCTTCTTAAAAAGAGAAGTATTGTTAATATAAGAGCCTAGTACTAACACTGTCTAGATCTAGCTTGTTCTTCTTGCGGCATTCATCTACAAATCGACAACCTATGGATTTGGCATGCATGTTGCGGATATCCAGAGAACTGGTGGTAGTGTCACAGAAGCGTTAAAAGTAAGAACACTGTTCGACCAAATACTCGCGCGGCGAACTTACTTATCCGTTGCAGTTCTTCTGGCTGACACAGTCCCTATATACGCTCACCAATGGTTTCAACAAGATGGCCTTCTTGGCGTTATACTACCGCTTGTTTCCCATGAAGCGCTTCCGACAAGCATGCTTGGTGCTGGGAGCCATATCTGTCGGCTGGACCATCTCCTACGTCTTCGTATGCATTTTCCAATGCACCCCGGTACCTCGTGTATACAACAGGAAGTTGGAAGGGACATGCATCAACTTCATCTGGCATCGGTATGTCGCACTATGGACGAGACGTTCGCAAGCTGACTGCTACAATAGCTGGTCGAATGCAGTCCTGAACATTCTGACTGATCTCGCGATCTTCCTACTCCCCATGCCGATTATACTGAAGCTGAATATGTCGATCGGTTCGCGCATCGGACTCGTCGCTCTTTTCTCGATAGGCTTCTTCATCTGCCTGACCACTGCGCTGCGCATGGCGGCCTTGCCATTGAGTCTCAAGGCTACAGAACCTACTTGGGAGTCTGCACCGACGAACCTGTGGTCTTTCATTGAAGCAGCTACGGGGGTGATATGTGCCTGCTTGCTCAGCCTGCGCAAGAGTATCGGCGCATTATGGCCAAAGAAGTGGAGGAGCAACAAAGGAAACAGCGGTGCCTATGAACAGTACGGGATCAGCGGATCAGGCGGCCTCGGGCCGGGAGTGTCGCGACCGTGCAATGGGACTGGAGCTCGCAACTCGTATGCAATGAGCGGCTTGCGCAGCGGAGCGAAAGGCAGGATAGAATCGCTCGGCGACATTAGTCCAAGTGAGAGTCAAGAGCGGATCATGGAAGGCTCAAAGACGGTAGCGCAGGTCACCACAAGTCGACCGCGCAGTAGTCGCAGTGTGAGTGAGGATCTGGGGTCGCCAGGCATCAGGGTGACCACCGATGTCCAGGTCGTGAGGGAGTAACGACCCAAATCCACACGGCGATGCAACCAACCCACGGGCGTCAACACACATATTATCAGATGCAACTGTACTATATTGTACTCGGAACCGGGATATGCCCCAATCAAACGCTAAATCTCAACCTTTGCCAAAACGCTCGCGACGTCGCCACTAGTCGAAGCCAGAGCACTGTGAGCTGCAGCTAGCCAGCAAATCTATGCCCAATATGGTGGGGATGCAGTGGCATGTTCTTGCAAGCTCTGCCGTGCCGCCTCTCGACAAGACGATGCTTACAGTAAGCGCCAGCCCCACATCTGGTGGCCCGCGGACATGTGCCAGGGTGGCTCGAAGGCCGCCTAAGTGGCCGCAGTGTACTTATGAAGCATGCAATAGCGGCTCACAGCTCGATACTCACGCAGTATTACTGCTTGCAAGGGCTTCATACTTGAACGACGAAACATACATCTAACAACTCTATCACGATGACCGAGCACCGCTCATTGAGCCTCGCGATCGTCGGCGGAGGCATCGCGGGACTAACGCTAACCGTCGCCCTTCTCACCAAATGCCCACACATCAACATCACGCTGTACGAGTCCGCAGAAGCCTTTGGCGAGATAGGCGCAGGTGTCGGCTTCTCGCCAGTCATGGTTCGCACAATGGCTCTCATCGATCCACGCATCGCGGAAGCATTCGTCAAATGTAGCAAAGGCAACACAGTCACCGACCCGCCGAACTGGTTTCACGTACGAGTAGGAGATCAAAGAAAGAAGGATGTCAAGCTAGGGGAAGAGATCTTTGTGATACCAGGGAGGAAGGGACCGGGAGGTGGCGTGCACAGGGCTCACTTCCTCGATGAGTTGGTTAAGCTGGTACCGGAAGGAGTCGCACAGTTCAAGAAGAGGGTGCTCGAGATCACTGAAGCATGCGACGGCTCCGGCGATGTGGTCTTGCATTTTACCGACGGGTCTACTGCGCAGCACAGTGCGGTGCTTGGGTGCGACGGGATTAAAAGTCGCGTGCGATCTATCGTCCTGGGCGACTCAGACGCAGTAAAGGCGTTGTTCTCGGGCAAGTATGCGTATCGGGGGCTGCTCCCCATGTCGGAGGCGGTTGAGATCTTGGGCAATGAGACACCAAGAACGCCGCAGATGTATATGGGCTACCATGGGCACGTGCTTACGTTCCCCATCGCTAATGGAACGTTGTTCAATGGTACAAAAAGTCCGCTCATTCGTCGATTTAGCTAACAAATCTATAGTCGTCGCCTTCTCATCACGACCGACTTGGGAGGACTCGAATTGGGTAGTCCAAACGTCCCGCGACGACATGCTAGAGGACTACAAAGACTGGATCCCCGCCGTGCGCAAAATCATGCAAAACATCCGAAAGCCTGATGTCTGGGCGCTCTTCAACCACCCACCTGCACCAACGTACTATAGCGCTAAGCCACTAATCTGCCTAGTGGGCGACGCGGCTCATGCATCGACACCGCATCAAGGCGCCGGGGCAGGAATGTGTATCGAAGATGTGTACGTCCTGAGCGAGTTGCTATCGCAGTGTCATGCGAAGACTACCCTCGAGACGGTATTCCACGCATACGACACGGTAAGAACGCCGCGCAGTCAAAAGCTGGTCAAAACGAGCAAGGAAGCCGGTATGCTGTGGGACTTCGAAGGAGAAGGCGTCGGTGACGATTTGGAAGCGCTGCGGATCAATGCGCAGACAAGGATGGCGTGGATTTGGGACCACGAGATATCGAATGACTTGAACGAAGCAAGGCGTATGATGCAAGAGGGCGCGTCGAAGACTCCGTAGGCGTGGATGCGGCGGTCAACAAGTCACGACAATGCTCGACACATACATACCACAAACGACAGGAGTGAATGACCCAGAAGTCTACAACGCGTTGAGATCGAACCAACCTTTCATTTTGGTACTAATGTAGAGCGCGCGCCTTCGATTTATCCTTTTGCGTGGGATGCGGAGGTAGCGCAATACCTGAAGACATGCACCTTCGCAATCGCACCGTCCGGCTTGGGCGCGTTTCGCTTCATGTTCCGTTTTCCAAATGGTCTGGTCCAACGGTAGCCGGATATGGCTTTGCGACCAGAAACGGATGTCGTTCCAGGAAGCCGCTGGGATCGACTGTGCCGCACAGTCTCGCTACCACACTACTTCACAACTTACCCCACGCTCGACAGAAGATGATGCATGAAAATACAGGCGCGCAGCCTCGCTCCTACGCATCAGAGAGCCTGGTCTGTGACGCTGCGCCTATCTTTTATCCAGGGAGAAACGGAGAGGTTGCAGCCTGGCCAGCTACTTCGTTTCAGAGGCGTCGAACACAGCCATGGCCGTCCAGGTTCAGCACACTGAAGCGGAGGTGTGCGAGTGTCTTGAGAGGCGCTGCGAGGGCCAACGAAGACTGCGCTGATGAGTATAATTAGACTTGGGCGACACCATCCAGCGTTAGAACTCCAGATCATCACGACTTTACATTGATACTCATTGCGCAATTCGTCCCTGATACTCCAAAACAACATACCCTTTCAAGCATGCCTCTTGATGTAACCAACCTCGGAACCGTCGCTGGCCGCCGATGGGACCCACAGGCGGTGCTCAAGCTTTCCCTCGACAGCCGCTGCGTTGGATGGGCGCCCTCACGTGGCCGCAAATGCCGCATGCCTATACGTCAAGATAACGCACACAGGATCGAAATGTTGGTGGTTAATTTGGCGACCCAAAGTCCAGACCCTGAGCGACTCCGGCCAAAACTTCAGCGCCTTGCTGAGCATGGCTTGTGTGTTCGTTTCCACCAGTATCAAGTCGACGAGATGCTAGACCGGTGGACAAAGCGGATGTGGGAGGCGTTCCCTAGGCATGATCGTGTAGATGGAAGAGTCGACGCGACGTCGGAGCGAGTGAGGCAGCGGCCTGGGTCTGCGATGGGTAAGCTTTCTACTGCCCACCATACAGCGCAGCCATCTAACAATGTCTCAGTCTTCGCAACATCAGAGGCAGAGCTTGCTGCACGTGCCGAGGTCGCTGCGCTACAAGAATCGCTTCGTGATGCTGAGCGCCGCATCGAGGAGCTTACCGTTCGTCGAGCTGGGATCGAAAGCATGGCGCAGTTGGAGTCTCGTCTTTCTCGTCTAACGACATCGATCGATCCGCCTTTGTCGTCTTCGCAGCCGCCGAATGTTCTCTCCAATCTGCGCTTGCGAAGGAGCTTTGCGCCGATTCGCCCTGTTCTCACCGCAGCGTCTGGTCGAGAGACAAGCCCAACGACTGCGGGCGCGCGACCGCCGTCTAGCGACTCGTCCAGCGATTCGTCTAGCGAGGCATCGAGCCCGGTGGTGCCGCACCCACCCTACATGATGCGGAGGCTAGCACGACATGCGCGAAGACCAACAGCGGCCGGCAGGGAACCTTTGTCCAGTGCATCGTCCAGCGAATCGTCCAGCGAGGTACCAGGCCAAGCGTTCAGCGAAACATCAAGCGCGGCCTCAAGCGTGACTGTGCCGCAGGTATCACCAGGCTCCACGACCTCAACACGTCGTTGTGCGCGTTCGCATGCCCGCCGTCTGCCCTTTGACGATGAATGCCCCATATGTCAAGAAGGCGACCTTCTGTCCCAGTACGATCGGTCGGAGGTTGTGTGGTGTGAGTCCACATGCGGAAGGACTTTGCATAAAACATGCTTCGAGGATTGGCGTAAGCAATGCTTCATCGACCACCGGGGCTTCACGTGTCCTGTGTGTCGCGGTGACTGGGAAGAGCGCTCATGCGAAGCGTGTGACCTGATGCAGGTGCGCAGGCAAAAGATCGAAGGGGATTGCGCTATTTGTTGCCATGCGATGCAGGGAGACGCGCCGGAGGGCAGGGAAGACCTCGTGTGGTGTAAGAACTCGTGCGGGCAAAACGTCCACCGAGAGTGCTTCAATAGCTGGAAGGAGCATTGCGATGCTGCTAGAGGAAAAGTCGCGACTTGCGTGCATTGTAGGACGTCGTGGCGGCGTGAGGAGTGTGATGGCTGAGGAGCAAGGGATGTGCGAGCGCGGAGGTTCGGCCTTGCCTTCGGAATTGGGTTCCGATCGGAGCAAGCACCTCGCATGTTCATCTGATGGTCCTGCCTCGCGCCTACCCCAACCGTGTATTTTAGAGCCCGAATCAAAGCGAGTGTCCTACCTAGGTAGTCGCTAATATTAACAAATTAGCGCATCTACAGCTCTATAACTAGTATCCGCGTACTGCGCTAGCGCTGTTATTGCACGCAGGCTAAGTTCTATAAGCTAAATCTTATTAGGCACTAGCCTGCTTTGTGCTATGCCTATTCTAATATCTTTACTTGCGTTAACCTAGATAAGAGGCTTAACACTCTAGAGCCTATATTAAGTTTACGTTAGCTACTTTACATACTCTTATTCTTATATAGTCTATAGACCTACTTAGTCTTTATTTAGCTAAGGTATTACAACTCTTACAAATATCTAGAATTCTCTACACTCTATACCTTGCTAAGCTTCTTACGTACAAGAGAAGCTAATTACTATATATCTATCTCGCTAATACCTATGCAGGCTCTAGACGTAAGGTAACTCTATTAGGTAACTATATACTATATCTACTATAACTATCTTTTTGTAAAGATAGAATTCTACTATATATACTAGTTCTAACTTTATTATATAAAGAATTAGAGTTAGATTCTTTACTTTTACTAATAAATTACTAGCGCCTACACTAGCTATTTACTACGTTTCTTTATTCTTTATAGCTATAATTATTTATACTTAACTATTAAAATATATCTCTAGATTTTAATAGTAGTATTATAATTATATACGCTCTCTTTCTTAATACTTACTACGCTTTATATACTATTATATATTATTATTAGAGTTACGCTAATATAGAAAGTTAAAGTTTACGTATAACTCTAAGTAGGCTATATAGACGTCTTATAGCGTATTAAGAATACTAAGTCTATATATGTTACCTTTCTATCTACTCTTTAGTGTTAGTACTTTTATATCTACTTTACAATAGGTAGGCTTACTATATAATACCTAGCGCTTCTATTTACTAATTACTAGTCTTAGTGTTATTATTACTATAGCGCACGCTTACGTTACGTCTACTACCTACTATAGTAAGCCTATACTAGGTATTATAGGTTATCTCTACCTACTTAAGGTATACTTTATCTTAGCGTAATAAATTAACGCTTATAATACTTTATAGTTTACCTATATATAGCGCATCTATTGTCTTTCTTATTAACGCTACTATATTAAACGCGTAGGTTTTGTTTTTTAGGTTTATATAACGCTGCGTAGGTTACTCTATTTATATTATTATAATACCTACGTAGATTACTCTATTTATATTATTATAACGCTTACACTAGTTACTTTATTTACGCTCTTACTACGCCTACACTATTACCTTACTTAAGCTTTAGAGCTGTTCTTACTAGTTACCTAATCTATACTTTTATAACGCCTATAGAGTCTATATTCTTCTAGTTTCTACTTTACTAGCGCTAGTTATCTAACCTCTATTACTACGTTATTACGTATATTACTATATCTTCTTTACTTTATTTTAACTGCGCGTTTTTCTGCCTATATTATTGTAGTGTATATATAAATACCTTATTTACATTATCTAACACTAGCCTATCTAGCGCGTAAGATTAGAGAACACTAATAGTCTTACTAAAATAATTATATTGCGTCTTACTCTATAGAAGACTAAGAGTAAGTATACTATATTTCTAGAGAATAACTTAATCTACTATAATAGAGTATTAGAAAAATAATATATATAGTTCTTTCTTATAAGTTATCTTAACTACGTAGGTTATTATACCTATTTTATCTAACTATATACGCAGAGTACTTTTACACTATCTTACCTAATTTCTAATTTCTAATTACGCTCTTCTCTGTAGTTAGCTTATACTTCTACTATACTTATTCTTTAACTCTGCTTAGCTCTTATTAAATATTAAATTCTATTTAATTACTAATTTTCTTTACTAAAGCTTACTAGAATAAATAAATCTAGTAATAATAGTTCTTACTAGAGTTTAGTAGTCTAATTATTATGTTCTAAGGCGCCTACACCTATATTTTTCTTATCTTTCTTCTCTAAACTATTGTTCTTATTCTTACTCTTATCTATTTTATAGATCTTACTATAAGCTACACTTATTACTATTTTAATACTTAGTATAGCTTTTCTAGTAATTAGTGCCTCTTTAATACTCTCTAGGCCTAGCTACTCTTCTAATACTTAACTAGCTTTACATATATTAGACTTTTTCTTTCTTACTAGCTAAAGAAATAGATTTAACTTGTCTACGCGTAACACGCGTTTAAACTATTAGTTTAATATTTTCTTATATAGAATAAGAAGTAAACTACTCTAACCTAAGTTCTGTATAATTATATACTACTACGTTACTAGTTTAAGTCTTACGCAGAATACCTTATAGTCTACTCTAGATAGTAAATAGTAGACTAGCTAAATAAGTTCTATAATAGCTTTACTCTATACTTAGTCTTTACTATAATAGTTGCGTATAACGTCTCTACTAGCGCGCTTATCTTCTAGTTAGATCTACTTTATTTTACGCACGTACGCCTACCTAAGTAATACTATTATCTATTATACACTAATATAGATAGCTACTATTACTATCTTATACTTTATATATATATTCTACGCAAAGTAGAAGTCTTAGTTTATCTTATCTTCTAGTAAACCTCTAAATAATATAGCTATAACTATTTAGAATTGCTTAAGAC